TATATTTTGCTAGGACATATAAGTATAATATTGTAATTATGATATGCTTTCAAAAGAACATATCATATTGTGGTTTTTAAAGGAAATATATTTTATACTATAATCACAGAAAGGTGTTAAATTAAAGTTTAGTTCCTGTTTTGATTTGACAATCAAAGGTACATAATTTCTCCAGTCTATTTTCTGAGAACAAACATGTTTTTACTCACATATGCATAAATGCCATACAAATCATGTGAGTCTAATCAAGATTTCCAATATTAAGATCTTCATTTATTGTATTCAATATCCTATCACCATTTATTGTATTGAATGTCCTATTAACAAAACAATTTATTATACTGAATGTCCTATTGATTGTTTTGAATATCCTATCAAGATGGCTGTTTATTGTATTGAAAGTCCATTCAAGATTGCCATTTATTATATTGAATGTCCTATCAAGATCATCATTTATTATTGAATGTTCTATCAACATCACCATTTATTGTATTGAATATTTTATCAATATCACCATTTATTGTATTGAATGTACAATCAAGATCACAATTCATAGTATTGAATGTCTTATCATATTCATATCTATTGTGTTAAATCTCCTATCAAGATCACTATCTATTGTATTGAATGTCCTATCAAGATCACAATTTATTGTATTGAATGTCCTACCAACATATTCATTTATTGTACTGAACATCCTATCAAGATCACAATTTATTGTATTGAATGTCCTACCAACATATTCATTTATTGTACTGAACATCCTATCAAGATCACAATTTATTGTATTGAATGTCCTATCAAGATATTTATTTCTTCTATGAATATTCCAATTGAGATATCCATTTATTGTACTGAATGCCCTGTCAAGATCTCCAATTATTGTATTGAATGCCCCCTCAAGATCTCTTGTAATTAGGCTGAATTCTTTACCTTAAGAGTATTTGCCATTTCTTGTTGATTAATTGCTCCCCAATTAAACACTTGACAAAACTACTTTCTGTTGATTCGGTTACTCCAGTATGACCTAATTTAAACAAAACAGTATTTACACAAATTTTATTTACAATTAAACAAAGAACAAAATACAATGATTGTATTAACAATAAGTCCTACAACAATAATCCTCCTGTGGGCTGCAGAATACACTTGAGATGTGTAATCTGCAATAACATTTGATACTTTATATCCGATTCAATAAAGCCTCTTATAACTGAGAGAATATATAAACTTAATTTAGAGTGATAACCAGATATGTAGAATATGATGGCTGCGTAAGCATCACTTCCTTGGACTCAGTGTAATTTTCTAATTTTGAGGAATTGATTTAAATTAATTGACTTATCAAATCAATTTTGAAAATAATTAAAGCACAGTCAATAATTGCACAGCACAATCATGGTGGTGCAATGTTTAAAAGCACAATTAATATACAGCACAATCACTTCAAGAAACAGCACAATCAATGAAAACATCACAGCAGAGGTTCATTAAAAGTTTCACATTCTTCAAGACTATTACAGATAGAGATATGATATGAGTATGCTCTATTAATATTGTGACATATTTATACACATGGAGGCCTAAAAATCTAGATGGCGCCATCTTTTACCAGTGTATACATGTCTTAATTCCAGATCAAAACATGAGCTTTGATATTTTCCCAAGAAGATGTAACTTAGTCATAACATACATTACCAGTTTATTTTTAATACAATGACCTATTCAAGAGAATTATATCTTGTGTTTTTATATGTTTTTATATTTGATTGAGTTACACATTTATTATATATGAATAAAGTCAAGTGACAGCTAAAGTACATTTTCGTTAACTCGGCTCCCGTTGGTCAGGATGCAGTAAAGACCGAACGTGCAAAGATGGCTAAAGTACGCATCCTATAGTTCTAAGGCTGGTAGAAGCTCTCTTTAAAGAATCGAAATCAAATTATTTAAAGGTAAAATACATCTCTCTGAAAGATATTTTGATTCTTTTCTTTACCCTCGGTACAACTTGATGCAGAATGAAGAACATTTGCCTGCATTGGTTTAAAGAGAGAATCAGATATAGCAAGCACGTTAAACAAAAATTGTCTCAATTTTAGAATATCTTTGGCTCATGTCATACCCTGTCATGTCTATTTTCTAATATCACAAAAGTGCATAATTTATTCCAGGAAAACTAAAGATTTTTACAATAATGTATTATTTTTCTAGAAGAATGGTCACCATTCTTATTATTTGGGAGAATTTAAACATTTTCATCCATTTATGCACTTTGGATCATTAATAACTTTACCAATTTATAACATATTGTGGATCTTTTGGGAGATATTGTATTTGACATTGTACGGAATAGATTGGTAGGTCAATTATACATGTTGCTTGTAATTTTGTCACCCCCATGATCTGATTCTGCCTTTAATTAACATCCCTAAAATATAAAATCTATGATGAACAAAAGAACATTTGGATACTGCCAGAATTAACAGCCAAATGTGTGTTTTATTCAAGAAACATGTTTGATTTGCAGTATATGTATGGTCCAGGGCAAGAGTTCAGCTAACAAATAAGTCTAACTTTACAGGTTTCACTGTACTCTGTGTTGATTGAACATGGTATTTGTGTTAAAGGAAAGGAAACTGGATCTGGAGCATACTCGGTCCATGGAAAAACAATTACAACTTGCAGTTGCAAAGTATCATATTATATAAATGAGGCTAAGGTATTCCACAAGGAGGATTTTCTGCCATGAACTATGCAGCCAAAAATACACCACGATTAATATCACTTACATGGCCCAGGGCTGGGAGTTTCATATAAACCCATAAACTTCATCCTATCAAATGACTCGGGGCCAACTAACACAAATACTCTGGAATGATCAATAGAAATACAAGAGCTCCTTGAGAAGTGAAAGGTGATATTACACTGTGAATGTTCATCCTAAATATAGTATTCCACCAGCGTTTACAGGAGCTTTTGATAAGGTTTAGCAAATGTTCAGTGTATCAGAGTTGGGTTATCTCACAAACTGGCCTACTAGGATTACACAGAGATCTGGAGGGCTACTTGAAAGGAAGCATTCACGATTTAAGACTCTTAACTTTTGTCATGACTTCTCTCTAAAATTAAACCAATTGTAACAGTTTCTGTTCATCTTATCATATATGTTTTGAAGTATAACTACACCAGTGTGTTATTGTACAATATTCATGTAAATACTACTTGTTGTATATGACTAGACTATATTTGCATTTGAAAAGGTGACCAGATGAATATGACCTCAGTTTTTAATTTTGTTTTTCATTTCTTGCCATATAATGAAAGGAAATAGATTAGGAAGGGAAACTGTATAATTGACTTATCTATAGGATGAAGAATGTCAATGAGATATCAAAGACCTCCAAGGAATAGTTTGGAAGGGCTAAAGATGTTTCCTTTGAACTCATCCAAAGAAATAAATGAGAAGGGCATAGACATAGCCAACAAAACACTGAACAACAATAGAGAGAGAGAAATGGGGAAGGAGGGAGAAGTGAAGAAAAGGGAAGCATCTAAAATCAAGCAAGAGAAGAATTTATCTAACTATTTATAAGATCATCTTTCCTTTGAATGTCATAAATATCATTGAATTTACCATTTCACCTGCGCAAATGATCATATGATCCAAGAATTTGAAATATAATTCCGACAGCGTCTGACAAGGTAAAACCCAATTTGTAACTAAATATTCTGAAAAAGTATCACGTAGCAATATTTTTGGCAGATGTTTATATTATAGCCTGTTTTATATGTTTATTTAGATTAACGTATACATGTATATGTAATTATCTACTTGAAACTGAGACAAACATTTTTATTTTTTAGTTGAGTTACTTATAAATAAACATTGTGATTCAATGATTTTCATGTAATATGATATATATGTAATATGAATGTTTAAGGATTTAAGGCTTCTTTTAAGGAACTTTATCTCAAGTCAACTCAACACCTTTAATTTTGAAATCTTTAACTGTTGATGTCTTGGGGAAAAGTTCATTTTTATTTGAACAAGTGTGGCTTTCCACAATCCTGATATCATTTTTCAAATGATCCAAAATATTTTTGAAACCTTAAAAATATTAATGCTGCCGTTGAATGTCAGAGGTCATAAACGCCCATATAAAACTTTTTCACTCTACCATCAAACTTGATCCCTTTCTGCTTCTTTGGGCCGAGACTCTCACGATATCATCTATCCTTTTAACAAAACAATTTTCAATAACATCCTTGTGGCACACAGCATAAGGAAATCCCATATTCATAATTCAGCTTTTTAAACAATGGTGTTTATACAATGGCCATGTTGTGTAATGTCAATATTAGATTACCACAACCTAATACCATTTTATTCATATTACCCAACCCTGTGACATCAACAATTATTAGTTCACTCTCAAATTATGGCTCATATTTCGTGCTCTTAAGATGTTTGGCATATAGTCTTACATGCGTAAACCCTCCTTCCATTTAAAAATAATGAGATTTGACACCTTTTGCAATTATTTGTTTGTACTTGTTCAGATCAGGGAAATGCTCTGAGAGCTAAAAATCCTCCATCTTGCAGAAAATTAAATTTTTATTTGAACAACACTGTGGCTTGTTCATGTGGTTGTGTATCACTAATAATGATAATTCTATTTTTCATTTCATTCATAACTTATAATTACAGATGGCAACATTATGGTACTATACAAATCAATCACTTTTGAAAGCAAACTCTCCCCCCTCCCATTTGGAGTACAAGTTTATGATGTAGACATTCTTTTTCAGAAACAAACAAGTCATATCAATAAATAAATAAGTTAGTTCTATGTATAAATGAACTTTAAATAGACTCACATATTTCGAGACACGAATGTCAGAGTTCAAACAAGGTAAATGCATCAGGAACAAAAATACCCCCCCCCCCCCCCATATAATTTACTAAAGATAATGAAAACAAAAAGCTCAAAAAGTACCTTGATGTCTTCCTGAGTTTCTTTCCCTTGTTTTCCGGTCCTGTCTTTCGATTCTAGATTATTCCCGTTTTTCTTTGGCTCCATGGCTGTAGACTGAAGCAGCGTCTACGCTACAGACTGGTTGTTTAAGTGCCTCAACCAGATCTATTGACAGGTAACCGAGATGAAGATACCTGATCCCTCATATTGAATAGCTACTTAACGCATGCGCAGTAAACTTTCTTAAGGCCAAAAATGGCGCGAAGTTCAAAAGTTTAAAAAGTTTAAAGTTTATTCAATGAATAATTATTTTGGAAGAACTGTGAAAGCAGATTTAATTACGTCATTACTTCACTGGTGATCCAACCGATTACGCTGGAACCGTTTCGGTAACAAAATGTCGGGACATCGAATATACGATTTTTCTTTTTTCCTTATTTCACACGTACGTAGAATTCCCACGACATTTTTTATCACAAACGTGTATCAGTATCATATGCTGATAACCATTTTAAATCACGATGACAAACGCACGTGAAAATGTACACATCGTCGTGAACTGTAATGTCATATTTAAGTTATGCGTCATGTTTGATTTCTCAATATTCAGATATTAGAAGATCAATTTCATTCTGGCAAAACGACACTACTTAGGCCTACTACAATAGCTCCCGGGGCGGCAAAAGCTTTACTAGGACGTGACTCGGAACTGTAAACCATTTTAGTCACGCGTAAAATCACGATGTCATCTTTTTTTTTAAATAATACGTTACGTAATGTTTGATTTCTCACTTGTTAACGACCGATCTCAATACATTTAAAGCGACTTTATAATAGCTTTCCACTGAGAGTCTGGTAAAACTACATTCAATATGACGAAAGGGGGTCTGGGGCATGCCCACCGGATTTTTATTTTATTTTAGACCTTACATGGTGGGTTCTAAGCGATATCAGACTGTGTAATGGAACACTATTTATTTATTGTGTACATTGTTTTGCTTAATTTTATTTTACTTTTTTACAACAATTTATCTTTTGCTCCATCATTTGGGGTACGCACCTGCGTACCCTCGCACATGCCTGGTCACTCGCCTGCATATGTTATTGGCCTTTAATTTGTGACCCCTGATACCGTTGACTTTCGCAAACCTCAGCAAAAAGGAGTGGTATCGATATGGATAACTTTTTGAACACGCGTTTCTCTGAAACCAGTCATAAAAAATTTAAATATTTAACACATCGTCAATTTAATGGTCATCTTTTGAATGGTAACAATGTAATTTGAAAAATATATATAAACTTTCATCTACAATTGTAATTGTACAAAGGAAATTTTGGTTGATTTTAAAAAAGTATCTTGTTAATGAAATAAAATGTTTATCTTGATTTTTATCTATTTGGGGGGTTGTTTTAATTTTTGAATACTTTTTTAAAATCAACCAAAAATTCCTTTGTATAACTATAATATTAAAAGGTCTAAATACATGTTGTATATGCTATTTTGTTCCAACAAGGTTCGGAAAGACATTTTATTTCATTCTCACGAATTGGTAGAAAGGAGCAAAAACAATTGCACTAGAAAAAACAAAAAAATGTTAACAAAAACAGTTATGTAAAATATTTCTAAATAATTTTCGCATTAAATTGTTGTCAGTCAGTCAACATTACATAAAATACCGTGCTTTTTACAGAATATTTTCAATGATTGGTGAATTCAGTTCTCCATATCGATACCAATCCTTTCAAAATGTGAGTAATATTACAAGGACTATAGCAATGACGTCTATCTCTGGACTGCGCTTAATACATGTAATGGTAATAGTCCTTGGTAATTGCAAGTAGGCTGATCTTGAGTGTTGTTTGATTTAACTGTTTTGATATGTAAATATTCTTGATGGTCATCCATAACCATATAAAACATTTTTATAGATGTCTCTGGGTCATCGTGGAATTTGATTAGTTCTTTAATATCATTTCAAGGAGGATTGGCTCCCAGGATCGAAACTCGATATTTTCCAACAATGAAAACGTCGAAATGTCGTTATTTTCTGAAATTAAAACCGACTATAAATTCAAAATAAACAGTTCAAAAGATTCGAACCAATATCTCGATCATTTCTTGTGAGTTTTGGAATTTTTCGTTTGGAAATAAGACCAAAATTCACGATTTAAATGTTGAAGTGAACAAAATGGCGGCTGTTTGAATTCGAATTTTGTATTACGACATACCCATATATGGGACAGAATATCGGTGGTGCACTCTGGGAGCCAATCCTCCTTGATATCATTTACAGAAATATAAAGGGGAGGATAAAGGGCGAGGCAAACAATACTTGATTGCATCATGTGTGGTTAATCCAGACGGATATACCCGGGTGTGGGTATAAACGTAAACAAATGATTCGTGTGTCTTTGGTTTCTTTCTAGTTAGGGGTTAACAACCCCGGACGGTGCTTCAACGGGGGCTTCCCGGGGGCTTCACCATAACATGACTTTGATATAATATATTTATTTTATATATATATAATGACAGCAGATGCCTAAAAGGTCACTAGTTTAATAAGTTTTTCTAAATACGATTTAGTGTTAAATTATAATTTATCGTTTTCTTCACAAAACACATAATCTAAAAATTAAAACTCCCGCGAAAATAACACCGTGTGGAAATATTTTCTAAATAGAACTGTCACATGTATCGCTAGAGCGAATTTAACCGGAAATAAACAGAAAGCTTCAAAATCAAAATGCCACATGTTGAAGATTCTTTCGACTTTCCAAAGTTTGTGGAGCTTCACAAACCTCAGCTAGATACGTCAGGAGTTCCAGAGAGATACTGGGAAACACTCTACCTGAAATTGAAGAATGAGGTAAGAATTCAATCGATGTACTAATTACTAGTAAGAGGCAGCCACTGGAATTTTCTGGAAAAATTCTGGAGTACAGTGGGGATCATAAAGAATTGCAAAAGCTATGAAAATTACATGCTGTCGCACATTTAATAAATTCTTACCTCAGTGTATTCAGTGCTCTATTTTCTCCGTTTGAGTAAGTCCAAATATAGTGGATATTCACATGTTATGCCGACTCTTCAAATGTTGAGGTGATTTTGTCGCCCGATTGCGCCGGAATGGAGGATTGGCTCCCAGAATGCAACATGGCACGTGCCAGCTTTCAAAATGCTGTTCCGCCATTTTGAAACCTGTCATGAGTAAATATGGTAACTGATGTTGCATTCTGGGAGTCAACCGTCCTTGGATAACAAACATGGCGATTCATGAAAACATTCATTCGATTTGGTAGGGATTTATCCATTATTTGCAGGTATGAAGCTTTGGATTCATTTATTGTGCTACTTTAGTGAACGGGAATTATTTTTCTACCGCTTCGGAGAGTTTGAGACACGAAACTTGGAAATTAGCTCATTGTGACAACTTGTGAACGTTGAGTTTTATTTTTGTCCCCCACTGTAGATCTTCTACTTGTACATTATATTAAATTTTTAAATGTTTGGAACTACTTTGAATCTAAAAAATAAGCAATTAAGGAGACCCTATCTGTTGCAAGACTAACGCCTGGCGTAACCGTCACCATGTTATTCATGTGTTTTTAAGTAGCGCAAGGATCCTGCCATGACCGTGGTATCGTGAAAGCCTGGTATAACCGCCACAATGCTGTATTATATTGCAATGCCTGCCATGACCGTGTTAATGTAATATAGTTCTGCAAGGCTTGACATGACCGTGACAATGTAGTATAGTATTGCAAGTTCAGATATGAGAGTGGTAATGTAGAAATTTACGATTAGGACTGCTATAACCGTGACAATGTGTATTGCAAAGCCTGGCATGACCGTGGCAACGTAATATAGTACTGCAAGGCCTGACATGGCCGTGACAATGTAATATAGTATTGCAAGGCTTGGTATGACCGCCGTGGCAATGTGATATAGTATTCCAAGTTCGGGTATGAGAGTGGTAATGTAGAAATTTATGATTGCTATAAGTGACCGTGACAATGTGTATTTCAAAACCTGGCATGACCGTGACAATGTATTATGGGATCGCAAAGCCTGGTATGACCTTGACAATGTAATATAGTATTGCAAGGCCAGGTATGAGGGTGGTAATGTAGAAATTAAGGCTTAGTCCTACTATGACTGTTATAATGTATTGCAATGACTAGTAAATATGTATGACATTAATGCCAGGAATATCCTTAACAATTTTAAGTGATCGGCATTACAATTAAACAGTTAAATACTATAATCATGGTGTTTAACTACCTTAACCATGTCAAAATCAAAATTACTACAATACATTAATACATTAATATTCACATTCGCTTATAAACCACAATAAAGGCTACGGTCGTGCCAGGCTTCCAGGGAAACACTTCCAGGGTCATGACAGGCCTTGCAATATACTACAGCATTGTCACGGTTATACCAGCCTGTCACGGTTATACCAGGCTTACACGATAAAACTACCACGGTCATGGCAGGATCCTTGCGCTACTTAAAAACACTGATTAACATGGCGACGGTTGTGGCAGGCGTAAGTCTTGCAATAGATAGCACGTGCAATTAAGGCTCAGCTGGAAAATAACATTTTGTCAAAAAATTGCTATACCTGCACAATGCACATGTTATTTTCTGGTACCAGGGCTGTCAACTTGGGACCATCTAACATGAGTGACTTCCAAATGCTGAACACCTTCCTTCAAACTTTGGACAGCTTCAGTGAACACTGGCAGATTTTGGACACTTAAAAATTTTTTCAGCTCGCTTACGCTCGCTGTTCAAATCCGTCAACTGGGGGAGGGGGGGGTTAGGTGTAAATATTTTCGAAACAAATGCGTGATATATACACATATTTTGTATCAAATGCGTGACAAAAAACGGCAATCGCGTGCAAAGACTGAACGGAATGCGTTCGCTTTTTTCGCCGTTCAGTATTTTACCGTGTCGGCATTTCACAAAACGATTTAAAAAATTACCAACAAAATGGGTGATTTGCGTGGTATTTGATCATACACGCTAAATTGATGCGTGATTTCTATTTTTCCAGCAAATGCGTGACAATCACGCCTAATGCGTGAGGCGTGAGGGTTACAAAATTAAGTATGAAGGCATGTGTGTATTTCCTTGCTTTTTTCAGGAAAGTATCATTATACTGTCTTAGTAGTCTTACTATATTTGCACGTAGCTATCAGGTAAATCTGATCGGAGTTGATCATTTTCAATATGGCTTTTCAGGAAGTTGAGTAATGCGCATGGGCCTCCATGCCATGAGATTTCCGCTTCCGGTTATAAAGTGGGGGACAAAAAATAAACCTCAACCATCAAAAGTTGTCACAATGAGCTAAATTCCAAGTTTAGTGTCTCAAACTCTCCCAAGCGGTAGAAAAATAATTCCCGTTCACTTTAAGTAGCACAATAAATGAATCCAAACCAAAGCTTCATACCTGCAAATGATCGATAAATCCCTACCTTATCGAGCGGATGTTTTCATGAATTGCCATGTTTGTGATCCAAGGAGGATTGACTCCCAGAATGCAACATCAGTTAACCTTATTTACTCGTATATACTTATATTTTTTGGGATTATATGGTGCAATCTTATAGTCAATAAAATTTTTTAAAGTGTATTGATGTTTTTTAGATGAAAATCACAAATAAAATGCAAGAAAAAACTACCCGATTCACTCTACAAACAACTCGCGGTCCTTTGAAAAACACTTCAAAATGAACCTGAGTTTTTCAGGAAATTTTCTTATTCTTGAAATGCTGTCTTGATAAAAGTTATCTTGTTCCAATCCCATTCCGGTTCAATAGAAGCTCACAGAAGAAAGAAAAGGGGGCTAAACTATGACGTACATATTCCTTCCCCTATTGATTCTAAACCCCAGCCTAAATGTTCTCTCAATTAAGCCCAAAAAGAAGCGGTTGTCTCTCAGAGATATACATGTACATTTTAATCTCAAATCAGCCAGTTTTTTTCACGATGTCCGTCATCAACTTCGGAAATTTTTTCGGAGTGCATTGCGAAAATTACAGAACATTATTGAACTTAAGCTTCATCTGGTTTCTCAATGTTCACCGCTTGTTATATGTATGTCTCTATTTCTCATAAGCCTTATCTTCTGTCTTTTATTAGGTATTTGATGCAGGGAGCAGCTTTGGAATGATGAAAGTGCTTGATGCTGAAGATGAGGATGATTTCACTTGGCGTATCGTCGTGACAACAGAAGATGAGATAAGTCTGGATGAAAAGAAACAGTAAGAGTTTCATAAGAAATATATAGTCCAAATAGATAATTTATTTGTGTGTACTCTGGTATAATAGAACATGTTGGGGGGGGGGGGTAGCCTTGCCCAAATCAGGTGAACATATTATGATTCTGTCCCTCTGTTTGTTATTTCATGTTTCTCTTTGGATATTTATGATTATTGTTGATCAAAATCAAAGTGATAATCAATGAAAATGAAAGAACTGTCTAGTTGAATTACGAATACCAGGATGAAGAAAGATTTTGCTGGAAAGTGTAGGCTCAAAGAAATTTTGCAACAAGGAACAGAATTTTGTGAGATATGTTATTTTGTATATTCAATGTATTTAGAAATTATTCAGAAATTAACTCCTGTGTACAGAATTCAAATGTCATCTATTATTGTTATATTTCTAAGATTATGCTTTCATATTTTTATGAAAGATTATAGATGTCACTTACTACTTACATGTCATCTATTAAAAGTTTAGATGCCTCAGAAAATATCATATTGACACTCAGGCTATTAAACTCGGTCAATATGATATTTTCTGAGCCCAGTATCATATTTTCCTCTGGAATAAAATTCATATTCCATCCCTCCCATTAAATAACCTCTATACACTCTGTTTTATTCTAGTGGTTTAGTGTAATTATCCCATCGAACAAAGTTCGGAGGGATATAGGGAACGCCTCCATCCGTTCGTCTGTCTGTCCATCCGTCCGTCCGTCCGCCCAGGCAATAACTTAAATACCGTTGACCCGATTTTGTTCATATTTTGTACACACATACCCTATGGGGGTAGAAGTTCTGCTCGAAAGCCGATTTTCAAAATGGCCACTCATTTAAAAATGGCAGCCATTTTAGTGCCGATTTTACAGTAATTTAGGTGCAATATGTAAAACTGTAATAGCAATATGTTTTAAATAAAAAATTATGTAGGACATTAATAAAGCTTGAAATGTAGATATTAAAGAAGCACATGGCAGCCATCTTGAAAAATGGCAGCCTTTACTCATTATTTTACGATTTTTGCTGTAACTCGAAAAGTAGTGGAGCGATTTTGTTCATATTTGGTATGTGAATACTATAAGCATGGCACACTGTCTAATGACACTTTTGGTAGAAGGTGGCCATTTTGAAAAATGGCTGCCATTCTTGCTATATACTTTGTTTGTTTTGTTTTTCTTTTAAAATAGTCTTTATTTCATTCATTTACTAATATAGACAATACATGGTTTATAAAAACAGGTTTACATAATCTCATTGCAGTAGTTTGGATAATAACTTCCATTTGGAACAATAATACACATTTTTTCTACAATTAATTTCATATTTTATCATAAAAAGTATCTTTTCAAATGTTCTTTGTTCTTTACTATTCAGTTCTAAAATGTAGGATTTGTAAATGCTGTAAGCAACTATACTTGTAAAATAATTCAGAAAATTAGTTTGAGAATCTTGGCCATTATAACCAACTATTATTTTTCTATAGGAAATATTGAGACCACATGTGTTGTATATAAATTTCCATATATCCTTTGACAAACAACATTCAAATAGAATATGTTTCAAATTACATAAGTAATTGCAAATGCTACAATGATAATAATTTGTTATACCATAGATAAATAAGTCAGTTAACCCAGGAAGTATGTTATTAATTAGTTTGAAATTAAAATTGGCAATTTTTTTGTCTTTAATTTTGATGATCTTGCTAACAAAAAAATTTTGCCAATTTATTTCATATATTTTACATTGATTTGTTATACAAAAATCTCTTTCCCATTTTTTTGAGACAAACCATTTTTCAGATTTTTTATTCTTCAATATGTTATAAAAGAAATTGGATTTTTGGCCTCTGAAATCTAATTGAACATTTTTTACTTTGAAATTGAGTTTTCTTGATATATTTGTGAAGTTTGCTTGTTCTATGTTAATGATTTATTTTATTGATTTCATTGCAAATGAATGAGAAAATATTCTGAAATCCAATTTATTTTATTTCTCAATTTTTCTAAAATATAGTTTACATTTAAAAAATCATTTCGAATGATAAGATCTTTGACATAAATAATACCACTATCTATCCAAGATTTAAAGAAAAGTGGTTTGCCTTTTAATTGAAATAATCTGTTATTCCATATGGTTTGCTGGACTATTTCATGGTGTTTCAGATTTTTTATTTCATCAAGATCTTTACAGCTATTGAATGCTTTCAAAACTTGTTTGTAGAAAATAGGTAATCCCTCAAGCTGGTCTTTAGAAAATACATTCATTTTTAACAAAATATCCAAACTTGGAGCAAGTTTGTCAAAATAAAAGTATGGAATTTTGTTAAACATATTGTTTTTGTCGTATATACGGGTAATCCATACAGCTTTAGGAGCATAGCTGTGATTCTAAATCCAGCATATTTAGACCTCCATTGTCTATATTGTTTATCATAATAGTTCGCCTAATCTTGTCTTTCTTACCATTCCATAAAAAGTTGAATATCAAGTTGTTTATTCGCTTTATAATTTCTTCTTTAAAAGATAAAATTGATGCTGAATAGATAAGTTTTGATATAGCTAAAGATTTTATAACAGTGATTTTTCCAAATAAGGTAAGGTGTCTTTTTTCCAAGAATCGAGAATTTTTTCAAGGTCATTTATTTTCTCATTCCAATTTAAATCATAACATTTATCTTCATAAATAAAATATACTTTGTTTGTAAAAATGCCAGCCATGGCTGTTCGATGGGATTCGCTACGCTTTGGCATTGCTGTTGTTCTGGTATTAGAAATATAAAATCAAAAACATATAATCAAGCCCTATTAGAAATGGAAGGGTATTTGTATGTAGATGGAGAAAACATAATTATTTCCAAAGGCTAAATGAGTTGCTATTTTTTCAAACCTGATCAAGCCATTTTGACACGTTTATAGTTGACACGTTTATTAAATGAACTTTGTATACAATAAGTCATTAAAATGTATTCTGTATGTTTTAGTATCTACCTGATCGACCATGCATGGACATACAGACTAGAGACAGCAAGGCAGCAGTTGACTGAGATCCCAGGCCTTGTTGAGAGGATGTGTGGCCTTATGGATTTACCATTCCATGATAATTCTGATCGAACACAGCTTGTCGAAGATGTCCTGGACACAATGTGGAGGTAGGAATCTTACAATTGTATATATATTGAAACACTCATACCCTTAACGCAGGGTCTAAAACTAGGGTGTAGATGAAGGTATCTTTTATGAAACCAAGACAAATGAATGCAAAGAGTGAAACATCTGCTATCCTCCTGCTAATTATTTCAAGATTTCAGTCCCTCTGAAGTTTGCAAAATAACAATATCTGGGTGTTAATCCAGAGATAATCCAAAAAACTACCCCGATTCATTCTACAAACAACTTGCGGTCCTTAAGAAAACACTTCAAAATGAGCATGATTTTTTTCTAATTCTGACCCAGAATAAACCAAAAATATATTTTTGATTCATAATAATATGTCGAACACAGTGTACACCGAGATACTAAATAATGAAAATGGATTTTTTCAGGTTTAACCAGACATACAAAATAGGAAATGCACAGCACGTATGTATTTCACATCTTAAAAAGTTTTCTTTCACAATATTGTTCTGCATTTCTCACTCACTAACTTAGTCAATTTATTTCTGCAATGATTATTGAGACAGAATGCGGTTTGTTTTAGAATTGATACATTGGATATCTGGCATATAACATGCCCAAATATGGGTAGATGCCCAAATTTGGGTAGATGTATTTTAGGGCAACAAAGAGAGCCATCTCTATATGGCACACATTTTGTTTTTTAGGGAACCAAAGAAGCCCAGTCTATATGGTACATATTGGATGAGTTTGGCAGTAGAATCCAGCATAGTGAAAATCCTACTGTCAGGATGGTCCCATTCTTCTACGCCCCCTCTCAAATATCTTACACTATCATGTGGCCTGTAACAAACCTAGCTGAAGGAGGTATGTTTTATGACTGGTCTACTTTTTTGATTAGTCTATTTTTATGTCACCACCAAAAAGTAGTGACATATTGTTATGGTCTCCATTTTTTTGACGGCAGTTGGTGGTTGGCGGTCGGCATTTGGCAGTTGGTGGTTGGCATCTGTAACAAATTCTTACAACTTCCAATAACTTAACAAATACTTTGTAGACTGACTTCAATTTTTTTTCAAAATCATCTACAAATTTTCAGAAGTTCAAATCTGACTTTATATTTAAGATTTGACCTTCATTGACCTTTTCAAGGTAAAAAAAGATTGAACTCATAATATTATGAGCAACTAGGTGGTGACATTTTGTCATGTTAATGCCTTGTTAACTGATGCTACGGGCCATATCAATGTCTCGTTTTTCAGGAAACTTTATCTGATTTAATAAGGGATTTAAGAAGTTAGAGTTTACTTTGAAAAAAATGAATATTGATAAGAGATAATTCAACTTCGATGTTCTATAAGATTCATCAACCAAGACAGGGGGTTCTTACCTCTTTAAATTAATTTCATTGTAAAAACAAAATCAATATTTGACTCTGCCCGCATGTTATATTTACAATGACTTCCAGTTATGATTTGAGTAAGTAATTTCGTTTTAAATGTTAAAATAGTTATGATAGATTTTAGATGGGAGGGTGAAATTGTCTTCATCTAATGCATACAGTATACAGTGCAAATAAAAGAGCACAAATATTTGAATTCTTATTTAGAAATTATAATTTTGCACAGATGAAGTATGCAGAAACTATGTTGAGAGTGTCATGGATCCATTATACCGCAAGTTACGACTGTTACCATGGCAGCCTAATGTTTTCACTCATCACAGTTACAAACCAAAGGATGAAGACCCACAAACATTTTCTGTAAGAGTAATTTTGTATTATTTTATTCACAAACAGCTTTTTGATCAAGCAAGCTACTGTTTAAAAAAGTAATTTCGAAAATTCATTTCATTATTTTTTGAACCAAACATCAAACAAATTGATAACATTAGAAAATGCCTGATCTTGTACTTGGTCACACTTACATGTACAATCCAGCAATACAGAATAAATGAGACACTACCCGAAGGAGAGGTAAAGAGGGAGCCACTTTCTCTGGACAGGAGTCTCAAGGTCTACTGTGATGTTGATGAAGTCAAAGAATATTTGACAGACTCACGATTTGAGCTCATTGAATCTGAAGATGATGCCGACATATTATGGGTTCGGGAACACTATAAAGATTACAAGTAAGGTTCACATTGATTTGAAATAAAACCCATAGAAACAATGAATAGCATTAAACCAATAATTTTGAATAAAACACATTTAGTGGTTTCAGTACATGTATTGAAAAAAGAGTTTTTACTAGTTATTTGATCCATAATGCCAACTATTTTTCATTACTGTTTCTTTTTGAAAACTGCCCAATTTTCCGATTAAAATTAGTCGCTTTTTCAAATATTTCTGTCTCTGTGATTTCATCAAATAAAATACATGCAGTATTTTGCTAAATTACTTATAAATCATTTCCAGAACTTTTGCTGAACAACATCCACAGAACTTCATCAATCAGTATCCGTATGATTCAGTAATCACCAATAAAGACCTCCTGACTTTGGTTGCTCAAAGATCAAAATCAAAGGATGTTAGTGGAGATGGTGATTTAAACACATTGTCACAATATTTTCCAAAATGGCTGCAAGTTACATACAACCTGGAGACAGAGCTAGCAGAGTTTGTTTCGTATTATCAACACAGAGAAAACGAGTAAGTGTCATCAACTTTTATTGATGTCTAGATATTATTATGAGATAGTAATAATTAAAGTTGTCGTAAATTTCCATTATTCTGAGGCATATTCTTGAAAGATGATCTGTTCCAGAAAATATAATCTCAAACACAATTCCGGATTTCAATTGCCTTTTACAAATCTGTGAAGCAGTAAACCAAAGGACAAACGCTGATTGTCATGAATCTTTATTGACAATATTTTTGAATAAAGACCTAATGGATGAACAAATACAAATTATTATGTCACCACCACAAGTGGAGACATTGTTATGGTCTCCAACTTTTTTATGGACAGTATTTGTTGGTTGACTTTCAGTGTTTGTTATTGTAATCATGTTTGTTTTAATAGAGGGCTGGATAACCATTGGATATGCAAGCCATGGAATATGGGTAGAGGGCTAGACCTACATATTACCAATAACCTAAACTATATCCTACGTCTCCCAGAGACTGGACCTAAGGTTGGTAGAACAGCATATTCATAGACACTATATGTACAAGAATGAGTTTTGTAATTTATGTATTCTAAATATCTAAATATTAGGTGTATTAACTCGAAGCATGAAAATATGATTCATTTTTGATTGATTAATTTTTCCCTAACATTTAACAACACAAACTTCACCAAAACTATTGAAAACAATTTTCATGTTTGATTATTTTCCACTTTGTAGATTGTGAGTAAGTACATTGAAGAGCCTGTGTTGTTCTACAGAGATGACTTGAGTATACAAGTGAAGTTTGACATTCGCTTTCATGTTCTCCTAGCAAGCGTCAACCCTCTCAAGATATATGTCTATGAGTACTTCCTCGTCAGATTCTCACAGAAGTAAGTCTGATTCAAATCATCCGTGAGAGAACCATGATATTGATTGGTTCATTCATACGTTTAATTACTATATCTGTACATAGTGTCATTCTAATCCATATTACATACTGTTTGCCTGGTGTATCCAGATTTTCATAGACATTCCCAACATTACTCAAAATCAATGAAAACAACAGGAAAAATTATAATGTAAATATGAAAACAGTTAGAAACTTTCTCAAAACAACAGGCTCATTAGGTTTTAACAACTAGGGGGAAATTACTGTAAATGAAGCCCTGTTCATACTTTGGGTCATTTGTCTAAGCCATTGAGTTTGCAGTCCATGATTGAATGAGTAAAGTTACCCTGTATACAACGCAAAATTGTGTTCCCTTCACTCCATATTTAATGTTATTTCACTCATTATTATGTCACCAACAATTTTTTTGTGGACAACGTTTGGTTGTTGGTATCCGGCAGTCAGCATCTGTAACAAATGGCACATTGTGATGTTTTGCATCTTAATGCCTTGTTTATTGATTGTAGGCCATTCTCATTGGATCACTTTGATGAGCATGAGAAACACTTCACTGTACATAGGTACGAACAGAACGTCATAAATCTAAACAAGGTGAGTTACTCATTATCCTTGTAAAATTAGTATAATAGTGTAATAACCGAAGATGATTACTAGTCTTCTCAATAGAAGACCACAATAGGTTGTCATGTAATGGGACAAGGGTAAGCAAATTACACTGTTGCTCATAAATATGGAATATTAGATTTGGCAGCTCAGAATTCAAAGATTGGAGTTAGAGAACCTTTATTTGGAATTGGCTCAGACATTTATTTTCTAGGCAAATCATTACCACATATTTCGCCTACAAATCAACATTTTATAGAGAAAAAATATTAGCATTTCAGTTAAGAAAATTACTGTTACTTAAACAGGGGTACGCTAAGAATTTTTGCATTTTCAAAACACCCCGATCCAAATCGTCATGTAAAACAGATCAAACAAAATAAACATCTGGTCATGAAGATTGAAGTGTCCTCTATCCAATGATAGCACTAATATGTGTTATGTCCTCTTTATGCTGCAATCAGAGCATCAACCATACGGGACCAGCATTGAATGAAACAGCTGACCTTTCAAAGTGAAATAAGGCCCCATAAGTTATCAACTTTTTGGAGGTCACATCTTATTTCTTCACATGCTGTCATAGGACACCAAAGATTGGGTCCATGTTTTGGTGATTTCCTGCCCATTGAAGGCACCTTTCTTTGTTATAATCAGTCAGCTGTGGTCTCTTTAAAGGTCTCATGGCCTTGCATCCGTTATAAAGAAATCACTGGTTGTCTATAGCTCTGGAACACGGGTTTTGAGGTGAGGTAGTCATTCATCTCGTAGACTACTGGTTGACTTAAGGCGATTTTGATGACCTAAATGCAGCAGGTGATGGTCTTTTCTTACATTTTTCTTTCTAGGGCTACTATTTCTGTGACCTGGAGTCATATTCCAGTGCCTTTGGTACCACTGGGAGATTTTAGAGACTGTTCCTGACACACCCCTAGGGTCCTGGCAATGGCAGTTTGTTCCATGCCAGAGAGTGCCATCCCTATGACCTGCCATAATCTTTTTCGCTTATTCTATGGGGCATGCCTTCTAAAAACTCTTCCAACTCTAAATCAAATTTTTATAAAATGTGCACAATGATTACAACTAAGATTTGGACACCTCTTTCAAGTTACCAATATCATGAGGTCAAGGGGTCACCTGAGTGAATACAAGTTAATCAACCATAAATGTTTTAACTTTTCATACCAATCAGTTTTATATGCAAAACTGATGAGGGAATGAGAACATATGACCAATTTTCATCAAAATGTTATCATTTTGTAGAAATTCCATCAAACAGTTCGTATCTATAAAATATTCCATATTTATGAGCAACAGTGTATGGTAGAGACCTAATTACAACTATTTTTTATCATACCTTTATACACAATAAGGCAAGTGAATACTAGGGAAAACTGATCCCTCAAACCTTGAGAACCATAATTCTACATGTTCATGTACAAGTTCTCTTAAAAACATGTAACTTAACCTCCCTAAACACACTTCTACTGACCATATAACTCAGGGCTCAGATGTTGAAACATATATTTATAAAGCAATTGATTTATTATAATATTATGAAGACAAAGATCACATGACTAAGAAAGAGGTCATACATGTGAAAATATAAGGATGACCATCTATAGTCAACAGCACAAAAAGTGACTACCAAGCTAAATGACAATACAGTAAAACCTGTCTTATCTGAAGGCCACTGGGACCAGCCAAATGTCTTCATATTAACAGGTACGGTGTTCCCATTTGAAAGTTGATTAATATATGTGTCAATGGGAGATAACAAAAGTTTGGACTGAGAGAAAGTGTTCCCATTTGAAGGTTGCCTAATATATGGGTCAATGGGAGACCAAGAGAAAGTGTTCCAATTGAGAGGGTTCGGATTAGACAGAGGTTTGGATATAAAGGTTTCACTGTTTTGTTCATAAAATGAGTCCTTGATATACATGATTTACTGGTCTGTTTGTGTAATGTGATGGTCATAATGTAGTTTAGCTATACAGTAGTTTACAGTTCATCATCAGGTTATCTGTGTTTAGCTATACAGTAGTTTACAGTTCATCATCAGGGTATCTGTGTTTAGCTATACAGTAGTTTACAGTTCATCATCAGGGTATCTGTGTTTAACTATACAGTAGTTTACAGTTCATCATCAGGGTATCTGTGTTTAGCTATACAGTAGTTTACAGTTCATCATCAGAGTATCTGTGTTTAGCTATACAGTAGTTTACAGTTCATCATCAGGGTATCTGTATTGCTGGACATTAGGGAATAAGACTCGCAATTGAAGTGATAACTTTTCTTGTTGACATTTCCCCTTTGTATCCATTGTACCAATACCTGCAATATACACTATTTATTGAAAATTCATGTTATAAATGAATATCCTTCATACCATACTGAAGGTTGTAGCCAGGTCTTGTATTTATTTAATAATTAGTATGTAGCCTTATGTGACTTACGCATGCCATTTCAGATAGATTCATCCTCAAGGTTTAATAATGACATACATTTGTAAATGTAAGCACATGTTTAGTTTAAATAATCAAATGAGGTTGTTATGTAATTTTGATATGACCAGTTTGTCGGTGAATTCAAAAATATGAAATTTACCTATTTCCTGTACTTGATGATAAAGAGTTGTCCATTGTTATCTCCTACAGCGAGCTTTCCATCATTCGTCATTGCAACTGCGTTAGGGTAGCTTACACCATCTGCCTTTGTAAGTACATTCCTCAGGAATGTACCCTTTGGGGAGAGGAGAACAACCCTGTGGTTGCTACTGTCTGCCACAAATATATATTCTCCTTTGTCCATGCATACTCCATAGGGAGAATTCAGCATTTCATTACCAGAGCCTGAGTAATCGCCAAATCTGAATACTTGTTTGCCATTTCTTGCTATTCCTTTAACACAGTGCCCAGGGCTATCACCATCACTTACTATGTTGATATCGTAGGAGCAGCTGATGTACTTAGGACTAGAGAAGGAGCCTTCTAGAGCATAAGCCTCTCCAGTGTATTCATCAACCAGATACACCTTATCTGCGCAGGTATCGATCACAAACAGCTCCCCCGCAGGACTCAGTGCTATACCCTGCAACCGTGACAAACTTCTGCAGATGACAATACCCTTGTGAACTCCATCTGTTGTATAGATGTTGATTTTGTTGGTGTCACCATCGGTGAAAGCTAGGTATCCATGACTTGTAAGAGACACTTGCCAAAATCTTTTTTTCAAGTCCTTCTTTAGCTTGTAGTATCGATTGTATATACATGCAGTAGAACCCTGAACTCCTGTAACTACATAGTCACCTGCTGGAGTTATTAATAGGTCAAATATTCGGCTTGGGTGGAGACCATTACTGGTTACAGAAGGCTCAAATAATGGTGTCAAGCCATCGCCGTCTACCTCCTCCTCAAGATTCTCCTTAGGAACTGTTCCAAACACGGTACCATCTTCATCACTTCTCCCCTCAGTAAATTGAAAGTCAGTGTTTGCACTGAAGGCAGTTATTGGTATTTTTGACCATTCTTCAGACTTCTTGTTCACCTGCTCTCCAATTTCACATATTTGTAATGGATTTTTGTGTTCAACCATGATACAGTATTTGTTGACTTGGCCTTCAATGATTGCCCTCTGAAGCTCCAAATGTCCAATGTGAGCCATGATCTGCTTCACATTGGATTCCTTTTCCTTCATCACTTTTTCTGTGTAGGACATGTATTTCTTGTGAGTAGCTTGGATCAATGCCTTCAGGTCATTGTTTATTTTGGCTGTTGCATGTTCAGCATCATGCTGTACTTCTTTTTTAGAGGCATTTGTATCTTGAATGGCCTGATCGTACATGTCCAGAAGACTCTTTCCCTGTGTTATAACAGCCCCAATAGATTTCATGTTCTTGGCAACTGTCTCTTTGATGATCTCACAAGCATGGTCAGCATACTTAATGGAGTGGCACATCTGACATAATACTGACTTATCTACCTTACAGTAGAGGTTCAGGGTCTGGGTGGGATGGAGGTGACAATATATAGTACGATCCTTTGATGATTGATGTGTAGCCTTCTGTGCACTATTTCCTGTAATAGCCAGTGTCGTGTGACCTTTCAACAGAACATCATGAGTCTTACTACAAGCAATACACAAACTTTTGTTACAGTTCAGACATCTGAACTTGGCTGGTATGTGATTTTCCGCTGATTCAAGGCATGGATCACATTCTTGCTTTTTGGATTGCTGACTCTCCACAAAGGCATCATTATTGCGGGGTGAATCAGTAGGGCTCACCTTGAACTCCCAGGCCCCTTCCTGTGGTATAGGACATACATGTCGGCATTCTGGGCAGTTGAAAGATCCCCCTTGGAGTTTGCTCTTCTGTATAAGACTATCAAGGCATTTCAAGCAATATGCGTGCATACATGGCAATGCCCTTGGTTCGGTCAGATCATCCTGGCATATTCCACACTTTAAAACAACCTTATTTGATGCCATTTCTCAACTTTAATTTTTATGTAACGTTGTTCTTAGGTGATAAAGTCCAAGGTCATTAGCGCTTTTGATTTTTATAGCATAGCTAGTTAATAATTATTTAGTAAATGAAAGTTTATGCTTTTTTATTAGGTCACATGACATTTTATGAAAACAACAAATTCTAAGTGATAAAGGTCTAGGATGTAAGTATGGTAAATGTTAAGATTGAGTTGGGACTTTGAGTCCCAATGTTTATTTCACTTGAAAATATGAATAAAATTCTATACTTTTGATGTCACCACCAAAAAGTGGTGACATATTGTTATGGTCTCCGTTTTTTTTGACGGCGGTTGGTGGTTGACGGTTGCCGTCTGTAACAAATTCTTACAACTTCCAATAACTTAACAAATACTGTTTAGCCTGACTTCAATTTTTTCAAAATCTTCTACAAGTTTTCAAAAGTTCAAATCTGACTTTATATTTAAGATTTGACCTTCAGTGCCCTTTTCAAGGTCAAAAAGGCCAAAATCTGACTTAAGATTTAAGATTTGACCTTCAATGACCTTCTCAAGGTCAAAAAAGGTCAAAATGTGTTTTTTCAACTTGCTTCAAATTGACTTCTTACAACTTCCAATAACTTAACAATACTGTTTTCAAAATTTCAAAATCTTCTACAAGTTTTCAGAAGTTCAAATCTGACTTTATATTTAAGATTTAACCTTCAGTGCCCTTTTCAAGGTTAAAAAAGGTCAAAATTTTCTTTTTTCAACTTGCTTCAAATTGACCAAATTTATTTTTCCTTCAATGACCTTCTCAAGGTCAAAAAAGGTATTTTTTAACTTGCTTCAAATTGACTTCTTATAATTTCCAGTAAATTAATTATCAAATACTGTTTAGACTGACTTCAATTTTTTTCAAAATCTTCTACAAGTTTTCAGAAAATCAAATCTGACTTAGAATTTAAGATTTGACCTTCAGTGACCTTTGAAAGGTCAAAAAAGGTCGAAAAGGTCTTTTTTCAAGTTGCTCCAAATTGACCAAGTTTTTTTTTTCAAAATCATCTATAAGTTTTCAGAAGTTCAAATCTGACTTTATATTTAAGATTTGACCTTCAACAACCTTCTAAAGGTCGAAAAAGGTCAAAAGGTCTTTTTTCAACTTGCTTCAAACTAGACTGATTTTAATTTTTTTCAGAATCTTCTACACCTTTTCAGAAGTTTAAATCTGGGTTTATATTTAAGATTTGGCCTTCAGTGACCTTTTCAAGGTCAAAAAAGGTCAGAAGGTCTTTTTTCAACTTGTTTCAAATTGACCAATTTTTTTTTCAAAATCATCTTCAAGTTAGAAGTTCAAATCTGACATAAGATTTGGAATTTGACCTTCAATGACCTTCTCAAGGTCAAAAAAGGGTCAAAGGGTGTTTTTCAAATTGACTTACAACTTCCAATAACTTAACTAGTACTGTTTTCAAAATTTCAAAATCTTCTACAAGTTTTCAGAAGTTCAAATCTGACTTAATATTTAAGATTTGACCTTCAATGGCCTTTCCAAGGTCAAAAAAGGTTAAAAAGTTTTTTTTTCAAGTTGCTCCAAATTGACCAATTTTTTTTCAAAACCATCTACAAGTTATCAGAAGTTTGACTTAGCTTTTGAGATTTGACCCTCAACGACCTTCTCAAGGTCAAAAAAGGTCAAAGGGTCTTTTTTCAACTTGCTTCAATTTGACCAATTTCTTTTCAAAATCATCTACAAGTTCACATCTCATAATATTGTGAGCAACTAGGTGGTGACATTTTGTCATGTTAATGCCTTGTTGTTATTATTATTAGACTCCAGATTGAAAATCTGGAGTCTATTGTTTTTGCCTCTTTTCTTATTCTTATTCTTATTATTCTTATACTGATCAAGTTTTCTCAACAACTATAAGGTATCTTTTCAAGACTATTATATGGTCAATTTAGGTATAGTATCTAGTTGGTGGGAAATGGGGTCAAATTTTTATCTAGGTCAAAGGTCAAGAACTAGGTCAAATCCAGTACTTTGTCACTTTTTCCCATTATCTCGGTCGTCCTTCAATATTTTTGATCCAGGTTTTTTTCATTGTGTTCCTCATAAAAAAGTAGAAAAACGCAATACGATTTAGATTTTTGATATCTCGAACCGATTTCGAGATATCAGTGTCCGAAAACGAGGTCCAAAAACAAAATTTCCGAACCCAATGTCCAGGATATTGGTCTTAAAGGAAATTTTCTCAGGATTCCGAATCTGAAAACCGAATTGAAATCTGACTTCCGGTTCAGGAGTTATGACGTTTTAAAATTTCGCGAAAAATCGATCTGATTGTACCCTTATAGAAAGTCAAGAAAAGTAAAAAGATTGAAAAAATGCCAGTCCAGTCCATTTCCAGGTCCAAGTCAAGGTCCAGTCGAGGTCCAAGTCTAGTGTTGGTCCAGGTCCAAGTCAAGTCTAGGTCCAAATCCGGTCCAGGGTCTAGGTCAAAATCTAGGTCAAATTCAAAGTTTTTCCTTATTTTTGCGATTCTGACACTACACTTTAATTATATTCTTCGAAATTGTGTATACGAGTAGCCAAGACTGTGCTAACAGTGTTAGCCTTTTGCCGTCAGCAAGTATTTTGACCCACTTTTGAGATATGGTGTCCGAAAAGTAAGGCAAAATAAAAAGTTCTCCAAATTCAACGTGTGAGTTATGAATTAGGGAGAGAAGTTTCTCAGGAATCCGATTCTGCAAACCAAATTTCGATCCGACTTCCGGTTCGGAAGTTATGGCGTTTTGAAAGCTCAAAAATCGCTAAATTTGGTGCCCATGTTAAGTCAATGGGAAAAAAGATTTTTTTGAAGTGAAAAATACGAAATATAGACTGAGTTTAGTTTAATTTAATGAAAGCTTTTAAAAGAAGGGGACCTCAAAAGCCATCTAGCTTAAAAATTTTGACACCAAAATACCTAGGTCAAAATCTAGGTCAAATCCAAAGGTTTTCCTTATTTTTGTGATTCTGACACTACACTTTAATTATATTCCTCGAAATTGTGTATATATGTAGCCAAGAGTGTGTTAATAGTGTTAGCCTTTTGCCGTCAGAAAGTATTTTGACCCACTTTTGAGATATGGTGTCCGAAAAGTAGGTCAAAATAAAAAGTTCTCCAAATTTAACGTTTGAGTTATGAATCAATAATAGCATTTTCTCAGAAATCCAAATCTGCAAACCAAATTTCGATCCGACTTCCGGTTCGGAAGATATGGCATTTTGAAATTTCGGAAAATCGATCTGATGGTATCCTGATAGAAAGTCAAGAGTAGAGAAGAAAATATTGAAAAATGCATCCATCCTTCCTATCTGATCCTATCCTATCCTTCCTATCTATCCTTCCTTCGTATCTTTTCCTTCCTATCCTTCCTATCCTCTCCTATCATATCCTTTCTTCCTATTCTGTTCCATCCTATCCTTCTTTCTTATTCTATCCTATCGTTCCTTCCTATTCTATCGTATCCTACCTTCCTATTTTATTCATACATCTTTTTCTGGATGACTCAGCTTATTCTGGATGACTCGGCTAAAAATGGTCTAAATCTGGAGTCTGAAATTGAACTTCGTTCAATTTCCAAAGTCTAGTTATTATTATTCTTCGGGAGTTTTTTCAGTAACTATGGGGTATCCAGTAAAGACCATAATACAGTTTATTTAGGTTCAGTATCTAGTTGGTGGGAAATTGGGTCAAATTTTTATCTAGGTCAAAGGTCAAGAACTAGGTCAAATCCAGTACTTTGTCACTTTTTTCGATTTTCTCGGTTGTCCTTCAATATTTTTGATCCGGGTTTTTTTCATTGTGTTCCTTATAAAAAAGTAGGAAACCTAGGGTCGATTTAGTTTTTTGATATCTCAAACCGATTTCGAGATATCGGTGTCCGAAAACGAGGTCCAAAAAGAATTTCTCCGAATCAAATGTCCAGGATATTAGTCTTATAGAAAATTTTCTCAGGATTCCGAATCTGAAAACGAAATTTAGATCAGACTTCCGGTTCTGAAGTTATGGCGTTTTGAAAGCTCAAAAATCGCTACATTTTGAGCCCATGTTAAGTCAATGGGAAAAAAGATTTTTTTGAAGTGAAAAATACGAAATATAGACTAAGTTCAGCTAAATATAATGAAAGCTTTTAAAAGAATGAGACCTCAAAAGCCATCTAGCTTTAAAATTTGGACACCAAAATGCCTAGGTCAAAATCTAGGTCAAATTCAAAGTTTTTTCTTATTTTTGCGATTCTGACACTACACTTTAATTATATTCTTCGAAATTGTGTATACATGTAGCCAAGAGTGTGCTAATAGCGTTAGCCTTTTGCCGTCAGAAAGTATTTTGACCCACTTTTGAGATATGGTGTCCGAGAAGTAGGTCAAAATAAAAAGTTCTCCAAATTTAACATTTGAGTTATGAATTAAGAATAGAATTTTCTCAGAAATCCGAATCTGCAAACCAAATTTCGATCCGATTTCCGGTTCCGAAGTTATGGCGTGTCCAAAAAGTAGGTCAAAATAAAAATTCGCCAAATTTAATGTATGAGTTATGAATTAGGGGTAGAATTTTGTCAGGAATCCGAATGTTTAAATCAAATTTAGATCCGACTTCCAGTTCGGAAGTTATGGCGTTTTGAAATTTGGGGATCTGATGGTATCCTGATAGAAAGTCAAGAGTAGAGAAGAAAATATTGAAAAATTCATCCATCCTTCCTATCTGATCCTATCCTATCCTTCCTTGGTATCCTTTCCTTCCTATCCTCTCCTATCATATCCTTTCTTCCTATTCTGTTCTATCCTATCCTTCTTTCTTATTCTATCCTATCGTTCCTTCCCATTCTATCCTATCCTACCTTCCTGTTTTATCCATCTATCTTATTCTGGATGACTCAGCTTATTCTGGATGACTCGGCTTATTTTAGATGACTGGGCTTAAAAAAGTCTGGATCTGGAGTCTGAAATTGAACTTCGTTCAATTTCCCAAGTCTAGTTATTACATGTATTCAGCATCTTATTTTTGTGTATTTTCAGCTTAAAGATGTAGATTTCATCCCACTGTTTAACAGTCAGTACTCATCCCACTCATGGGATAAAACAAGGGTAAGATATGAGTTATGTTATGTGTTATCCACCCTCTTTCATCTAGAGATACAAGTGAGCTCAACCACTAGTTCAACTGTTGTGCTCAGGTTTTCCCTTCCTATCAAAGTCAAAATATTTTGGTGCTGAAGATTACTATGTATCGGATATATCAAGTTCATTGAAAGTAATTGCAACCAATATAAACTTGCTCTGATTTACACTGTAATCTCTGTCTTACCATTAAAAAGTATATAACAGTGGATTATATAAAAATGGACTGTAACAAATACCCGGATTTGTTGGTTTTCAAAATCTGTAACAGAATAATGGGTCTTAAATCTTGGAACTACCAGTAAACATCACTTCCTAAATAATACCAGCATTAAATGGGGCATGCCAAAAACCAGCCGATGAACACCATCCACAAAAAGTTGGGAGACCATAGCAATATGTTACCATTTTTGGTGGTGACATAAAAATAAGACATAAAACATCTAGAGGTATTCGAATATACAGTTTTTTACTATATCTAATCTATGTTTATATTTATGCATGCAGTGATTAAGGATGTGTTTGAATGTTCTGTTAGCAAGCCCCCACCCCAGGGCATGCCCCATTCCCTACAGTCCAGGGAGTTGTTTCATTTATATGATGCTATTATATTTCCAGGAGTCTATGCATGCAGTGATTAAGGATGTGTTTGAATGTTCCATTAGCAAGCCCCCACCCCAGGGCATGCCCCATTCCCCACAGTCCAGGGAGTTGTTTCATTAATAGGATGCTATTATATTTCCAGGAGTCTATGCATGCAGTGATTAAGGATGTGTTTGAATGTTCCATTAGCAAGCCCCCACCCCAGGGCATGCCCCATTCCCCACAGTCCAGGGAGTTGTTTCATTAATATGTTGCTATTATATTTCCAGGAGTCTATGCATGCAGTGATTAAGGATGTGTTTGAGTGTTCCATTAGCAAGCCCCCACCCCAGGGCATGCCCCATTCCCTACAGTCCCAGGGAGTTGTTTCATTAATAGGATGCTATTATATTTCCAGGAGTCAATTAGTGGAATGGGTGATAGGTGTTTTTCGTGCGATGAAGTCTAAAAATTTTAATTGGTATAATCATTTAGGCCACCTAAAACTACATTTATTCATGAATTTTCAGTTTCCAATTTTTCAGCGTTAAGCGGCTGTTCCATTTTACCCCCCCTGAAAAACCAAAAGAGGGGTATGTATACAAATGCAGCCATTTCACCATTATACTTCGAGCAATTCTATTGAAAGTTCATGGGAACATACATTGTATAATAGACATGTATCATGCAAAATATGAGTGTGAAAGCTCTACTTGTTGCCATGGTAACCACTCGTTGAATTATAAAAATGACTGAAAAAGGGCGATTTTCGTACATTCGGATTGCAGTAAACTGAACTTATCTTGTTGTAAGAGATTGATTGATCAGTCTAAATATGCTTAAAAACTTCCCAGATGTGTATGGTACAAATCTAGGGGAAAAGTAAATTTTTGGGATGTTTCTTATATTTTACATGATTTTTTTAATATGCATACCCCTATTCAGGATCCATATGTGCTTTTCTTGTCTGTAATGTCAAAAACATAGATATCTTCAATATTTCAAGTTGAATCTTTTCTTATATTATACTGGAAAGCTAAATGCATATTAATGAGATCCATGGTCAGGATTAATGTAATATTTGTATCTGTTGCTCTGGTGACCACATATAACTATTAATTTTTCGCACATGTTCCATGTTATATCGTGAAGACAGCAGATTTCATCATTTCAGGAATATTTGTCTTGCATCATTACATACACAATACACAGAGTAAAAGGTCTAAAGAGGTACTATATCTAGTATACTTAGATGGGGTTTGTCATGACTGACTCTTCAAAATTGAGGTTTTAAAAAAAAGCACATGTAATGAAAAATCAGAAAATGGAACTTGTTACAAGATTAAGTTGAAAACAGGTAAAATAAACTAATAACATTTATGACATATTATTCTCTTACATCTGAAGAAATTGAAAATACATTAAAACATAAATTTTCAGAATAGTTTACCATGAAATTAAGATTAAACTGAAAAAGTAAATGTCAAACAATATATATTTCAGGGAAGCAATGAGTGAACGAGTCTTGAGAAAGCGTGTTGCACCTGCATCAGAGGCTCGCGGTGAGACATCTAGGCCAACATATCTGTTTTCCGATTCCAAATGTATTTTTTGTGATAAGACTATTAAATATCTGAAAAACAATAAGAAGGAATATCTTACACAATGTACTACAAAAATAACTAGAGCAACAATTAATCATGCTATGCATATAAGAGAGGATTGGAACTTAATTCGCAAAATTGGCGGACGTGATCTTCTGGCTGGAGAGGCTCATTTCCATCAGGCTTGCAAGCGCTCATATTGTGAACCTAAAATTGTTGGAAAACCTGAGGTAGATGACTATGGTGATTTAATTGAAAAAACTACAGGGACAAATGTCAAATTTGATGAAAAAGAACCAGAGGAATCCAATGACCCATCATTCACCTACATATGTGAAAGGATATCCGAAGACATTATGCTTAGGAAGAATGTTGGTTCTCTTAATAACATTCACAAACAATATCAGACCCATAAACAAGAAAATGATCCCGTGAATTATCAAAAGGACTATCGCAGAAGTAGATTGAAATCTCGCTTGCAGTCTCATTATGGTAATAGAATAGTTTTACAGCCTGGTAAAAATGAGAAAGACATTTTGATTTATAGCTCAAGTCTAACTGTATCAGATATTGCCGACTCAGCTGCAATGGTAAATCAGACAAATGAACATGGATGCCTGCAGAAAGCAGCACATTATTTAAGAGACAAGATAATTGCTGCTAGTGAAAACGTCTCTCCAACAAACTGGCCACCATCTGCTTCAGAATTATCAGCAAGTATGTTTTACACTATTCCACCAGAGTTGCAATATTTTCTTATACTTCTGCTATCAGGCAATGACACAAAAATGAACAATACAAAATATAAACGCTTGACTCATACCATAGGGCAAGACATTTGCTATGGTGCAACAAATGGATCATTCAAAATGCCAAAACATTACTTGCTTGCGATAGCTATTCATCATCTTACAGGGAGTGCAGAGTTGATCACACTACTGAATCATCATGGCTACTGCACCAGTTACACAGAGGTCCTAGAAATAGAGACTGCAATATGTGAAGAGATTAAACAGCAAGTGTCATCCTTACCACCATCAATATCCATTTTGTCAAACCAAGTTCTGATGTATTGCTTCGATAATTTTGATCTCAATGAGCAGACTCCCAGTGGTTCAGGAACTACACATTCTACCCATGGCATTGTCATTCAAGAACAGAAATCTGTGAATCCTCACTGTCATCAAGACACAGCTATGGAGGTTGACGCACATACAGAGTCTAGTGAAAGTCAAGGTCAGCTGGAGCCAATGGATGATGATGGTGGTGATATTTCTTCAGAATCTCAAGGTGGTGTGCCAATCCTTCTACCTCAGTCAGATGAACATGTTGATGAAATTGTTGATTCTAGTGCTCAGCCTCCATCACTTGAACCAACTAAGGAACGCTACCCTAATGCAAGGAGATCAGTTAAACTGACAGAGGACATATTACCACCATGTTATGCAGTTAACAAAGCAGAACCACCTAAAGGGTTTGATGTCTTCACAATCTCAGAGGAAAGTGAGGTGGCATTAGCTAATGCTTCTAGAAGTGATCTGATGTGGATTTTGTGTCGTCATCAACAGTCAGAAAATCAGAGTGTCCCTAGCTGGGCAGGTTGGGTGTCACTAACAGGCAAGGGCTCAACTAATGTACCAGTTCAGTCTGTTATAGACTATCTTCCTCCAATAAACCACCCAATAACTGAGAATGCTACAGTTCAAGAGTGCCTGAATATTGCTATGCAAGGAACAGCTGAGGTGGGCCAACATTACACATTAGTAACATTTGATCTGGCAGCAGCCAAAAAGGCCCTGAACATTGTATGGCAATTTCAAAAATACTGTACTGTGATAGTAATGTTAGGTGTTTTCCATTCGCTGTGTTCTTATTTCTGCACCATTGGAAAATTTGTGAGGGGCTCTGGTTTTGAAGAGATACTGCTTGAATCAGAAATTTGTGCTAGTGGATCATTAGATGCAGTCCTTAATGGAAAAAATTACAACAGAAGCCTGAGAGTTCACAAGATAATGTATGAAGCACTGGAACGTATGTTGTTGGAGAAATTCCAGCAGGAACACCAACTAAATCCAGCTGCAAAGAAGAAACTTCAAGATCTAGCTGAAAACCTAAATGAAGAGCTTCTGCAGCAATCCCTCTCTGATAAAGATGTTAGTGAATTCTGTCAAAAATTCTTCCAGTTCAAAATGGACATCAGACAAGGGAAAATGGGTAAAACTCCACAGTTTTGGGTCCAGTACAGTGATATGGTTGGCACTGCACTTCAGTATATCCGTGCCACAAAGGAAAATGATCTCAACCTCCACATTGGAGCACACTCAGCCATGAATAGTGCATTCTTTGCCATGGACCATCAAAATTATGCCAGATTTCACTGTTACCAATTTCTCACCCTTCTCAACCTGGATAAGACACATCCTGGTGCAACAGAGCTCATCTCAAACAATGGATTCTCTGTTTCAAGATCAGATGTATCATGCTCACGAAATCCTGTGGACATTACCATAGAACAAACTATCAATTGCAATGCAAAATCTAAAGGTGGTATTGTTGGTTTCAGTAGGAACAAGGGTGCATATCAGCGCTGGTGCGTTACACGAACACAGAGAGGACTGTATACAGAGGCTGCCCTTGATATAGCTGGAATGAGAGACTCAGACGATATCCTCCATAGAGACAACTCATTAGCCCAAGTAACAACATCTGAAGCTGGTGTAAAGTCAGTAATGCAGGCATTCAAAAGCTTCATCAACCCATTTGACATCAATGAGCCTGCTCTTCACTGTGTATCATCTGGTTTGCCAGCCCCAGCAGAAGTTCAAGGGCTGACTGATGCATTACAGAAAGGTTACCAAGCAAGTGAACAATTCATTGATAGACTGAGAGATCAAAACTCAGAACTTAAGTTTCACGATAGCATAAAAAAGATGAAAGTCGCAACATTTGCAAATTCTGCTGTGACCAAGAAGATGACAACTTCAAAAAATAAGGTTGTTGAAATCAGCGCCACAAGAAACCTATTTGGCCAACTACTTAATGTATCTCAAAACAGTGAGATTAGTCTTGAGAGGCTCATGGGATATTGCATGGGTCCTGTTCCTTGGCCTCTTGCCCTACCTGATGGCTCTCTAGCAAAAACACCAAAGTCAACACTCATTCATGAGCTGCAAGGGAATGACAGTATTCCATCTCCCCCATCTGAATCAATAACTATCTTGGATGGAAATATGAGTTTCTATCAAATGGAAAAAATAGCACCAACATTTGGTAAAGTTGCAAGAGACATATTCACAAGCTTACCAAAATCCAAGAACGTACATTTTGTAACCGATTCCTACCATGAAAACTCCATTAAAGATCTTGAGAGAAACAAAAGGGGGCAGTCAGATCCAATTATCCTGAAGGGAGCCCACACTAAAACCCCATCAAAATCATGGAATAACTTCCTAACATGTGGCAAAAATAAAGAGGAACTTATCAAGTTCCTGTTACGTGAATGACAAACCAAGAAGTATGCCAGTGATCTGAAGGGAAGAAACATCTACTTCTCAGACCAAGAGAATACAATTCTACTCACAAGTGATGGTGAAAAGGTTTATACTTCCCCAGTAAATGACCTAGCATCTAACCAAGAAGAAGCAGATACAAAGATAATTCTTCACATGCTGTTCGCTGCAAGACATGGAAAACCAGTAATTGTTCGATCCCTTGATACCGATGTCTTTCTAATACTCCTAAGGTATGCTGACAGGGTCGATGTACCGATATATTTTGACACTGGAAAAGGAGATGGGCGTCGCCTCCTTGACATCCAAGCAATAGCCTCCCGCCTGGGCCAGCAACTTTGTGAAGCACTGCCCAGCTTTCATGCTTTCACGGGGTGCGATAGCACTAGTGCATTCATTCGCAGAGGCAAGATAAAGCCACTCAAAATTCTTACCAGAGGTCCTCCAGATGAAAGGAATCGTTTCCTTAAACTGTTTACTACAATGGGAAATACTGTTGAGGTTACCAACCAAATGGAATCTACTGCTGAGGACTATGTTTGCAAAATGTACTCTAGAAAAACCAAGCTAAGGAACATCAACAAACTTCGCTATGAACTATTTCAACAAAGATATTCCCCCAAGAAATCAGGAGATGCTTTGACTTACAATGGAACTGACTTGTCACTGTTACCCCCCTGTAGAGACTCTATAATTCAAAAGTTGAAAAGGAGTAACTATCAAAGCTATATCTGGAAACAATTACACATTGCTGTCAGTGAACTCCCAAATGCCACGTTGCATGGCTGGCAACTTGATACCAATGGTAACATTGAGCCACAATGGTCTAGTTTACCCGTCTTACCGAAAGACCTTGTAGATCTGCTTGATGAGGTTGCTGAGCCTATTGTACTTGAAGATGCAGACTTCTTGGGAAGTGTTGAGGGTGGAGATGTTCTAGACAGCTAGAAAAGAAAAATGACTATAAACATGTTAAACTTCAAAACAATGCTAATGGAGGTAAATTTGTACTCTCATACTGTTTTGTGACATTCTCCATTTAATATGTGGTTACCATAGCAACAGTTACAAAATTTTTTCTGAAGTGTATCTTAGCTCCTCACTGTAGATTGAGTTTTCCTATTAATTATACAGTGAAATATTGGTGATAGCCTACATAGTATACTATAAGAAACTCATTTTGACATTTTAATAGACATTGGAGAAATAATCACTTTCTCGTCTTGAATGAGGGTATGAGTATTAAAAAAATCATGTAAAATATAAGAAACATCCCAAAAATTTACCTTTCCCCTAGATTTGTACCATACACATCTGGGAAGTTTTTAAGCATATTTAGACTGATCAATCAATCTCTTACAACAAGATAAGTTCAGTTTACTGCAATCCGAATGTACGAAAATCGCCCTTTTTCAGTCATTTTTATAATTCAACGAGTGGTTACCATGGCAACAAGTAGAGCTTTCACACTCATATTTTGCATTATACATGTCTATTATACAATGTATGTTCCCATGAACTTTCAATAGAATTGCTCGAAGTATAATGGTGAAATGGCTGCATTTGTACACATACCCCTCTATTGGTTTTTCAGGGGGGGTAAAATGGAACAGCCGCTTAACGCTGAAAAATTGGAAACTGAAAATTCATGAATGGATGGAGCTTTAGGTGGCCTAAATGATTATAACAATTAAAATTTTTAGACTACATCGCACGAAAAACACCTATCATTAATAGGATGCTATTATATTTCCAGGAGTCAATGTATGCAGTGATTAAGGATGTGTTTGAGTGTTCCATTAGCAAGCCCCCACCCCAGGGCATGCCCCATTCCCTACAGTCCCAGGGAGTTGTTTCATTAATAGGATGCTATTATATTTCCAGGAGTCAATGTATGCAGTGATTAAGGATGTGTTTGAGTGTTCCATTAGCAAGCCCCCACCCCAGGGCATGCCCCATTCCCTACAGTCCCAGGGAGTTGTTTCATTAATAGGATGCTATTATATTTCCAGGAGTCAATGTATGCAGTGATTAAGGATGTGTTTGAGTGTTCCATTAGCAAGCCCCCACCCCAGGGCATGCCCCATTCCCTACAGTCCCAGGGAGTTGTTTCATTAATAGGATGCTATTATATTTCCAGGAGTCAATGTATGCAGTGATTAAGGATGTGTTTGAGTGTTCCATTAGCAAGCCCCCACCCCAGGGCATGCCCCATTCCCTACAGTCCAGGGAGTTGTTTCATTAATAGGATGCTATTATATTTCCAGGAGTCAATGTATGCAGTGATTAAGGATGTGTTTGAGTGTTCTGTTAGCAAGCCCCCACCCCAGGGCATGCCCCATTCCCTACAGTCCCAGGGAGTTGTTTCATTAATAGGATGCTATTATATTTCCAGGAGTCAATGTATGCAGTGATTAAGGATGTGTTTGAATGTTCCATTAGCAAGCCCCCACCCCAGGGCATGCCCCATTCCCCACAGTCCAGGGAGTTGTTTCATTAATATGTTGCTATTATATTTCCAGGAGTCTATGCATGCAGTGATTAAGGATGTGTTTGAGTGTTCTGTTAGCAAGCCCCCACCCCAGGGCATGCCCCATTCCCCACAGTCCAGGGAGTTGTTTCATTTATATGATGCTATTATATTTCCAGGAGTCTGTGCATGCAGTGATTAAGGATGTGTTTGAATGTTCCATTAGCAAGTCCCCACCCCAGGGCATGCCCCACTCCCCACAGTCCAGGGAGTTGTTTCATTTATATGATGCTATTATATTTCCAGGAGTCTGTGCATGCAGTGATTAAGGATGTGTTTGAATGTTCCATTAGCAAGCCCCCACCCCAGGGCATGCCCCATTCCCCACAGTCCAGGGAGTTGTTTCATTAATATGTTGCTATTATATTTCCAGGAGTCTGTGCATGCAGTGATTAAGGATGTGTTTGAATGTTCCATTAGCAAGTCCCCACCCCAGGGCATGCCCCATTCCCCACAGTCCAGGGAGTTGTTTCATTAATATGTTGCTATTATATTTCCAGGAGTCTATGCATGCAGTGATTAAGGATGTGTTTGAATGTTCCATTAGCAAGCCCCCACCCCAGGGCATGCCCCATTCCCCACAGTCCAGGGAGTTGTTTCATTAATATGATGCTATTTCCAGGAGTCTATGCATGCAGTGATTAAGGATGTGTTTGAATGTTCCATAAGCAAGCCCCCACCCCAGGGCATGCCCCATTCCCCACAGTCCAGGGAGTTGTTTGGTATTGATATGATGCTCAAGTGGGCCACTGATGACAAAGGTAAATATTTTACAATTTGTAATTATTTTTTGCACACCCTCATTACATTCTCACTACATGTAATACAGCAAATACTGCAATTTGTTGCGTATTAGGAATGGTAAACCCAGTTTGTCTTTTATTTGCTCTTTGATAGGGAAAGTTCAGTGTATTGATGTTATCTCAGATTGTAACTACATGTAGTTATCATGTTACAATATAATTAAGATCAACATTTTTGCTTCCACTCAAAAATGCAACTCAACTTCTTCAGTTTCCAATTATTTCTAATTTAAAGTCTGATTTAAATAATCCAATTTGTTGCATTCAATGCTAAAGAACTTTCACTGCAGGCCCATAGCCAGGGAGGTTTGAGCGAAATCAAATTTGAATTTTTCAAAAAAAGTGAACCCCTTGGCAATATCTGCTTCATGCTTACACCCCTACCAAAATTCATATTTATCATACAGGTGTGTGTTCATCAGTATGTTGTTATTTCTTCCATAATTAGCTGCCATCTATATTTAATGAAAAAGTTCATTTGGTAGTAATGGAAGATGACAGTACATTTAAGTATAGATGACGCAAACCTGGTTAACCTTTAAGTAATGTTGTCAGTCTCATGTGTCATCTATTTTGTATCAAGTCTTTTCTCCTCTTTTGTTTTATTTTTACAAGAACTTGCGTGGGTGTTGAATGTTGACGTTGATGAGAGTTTCATTGGAGACTTAACTTGTCCAATTTATTAATTCACCATACCATATTTTATCAAACCATGATCTCTTAATTAGAGAGCTTGTGTATATATGTTATGGAGGATCCAGCGGAAACTCTGGAAAACCCATTCTGATTCTGAGACAATCTCGGCTTTTAGGGACCGATTAAAGCCATAATCAGCTCTCACAATGGAAAAAAATCATCTTATATTTAATTGATTGCAGTATACTTTGCCTTACCTTGATGATTTCCTAGTTTTAGTTCTTGTACAATTTACCTGATATAGTGTTAGAGTTCACCTGATATAGTGTTAGAGTTCACCTGATATAGTGTTAGAGTGCCACTGTTATAAATAGTGTATATCCAAATAAATAAATAAATTCAAATCAAAAGAGAAAATTGACTCTCAAAATATTTTTGTCAAAACCCTTTCAATTTTTGTCTGTTTTGGAAGAATTCTTCTTCTTATGTACCCCTTTCTCTTGCATAATTCAATAATTTCGTTTATAGAAAACATAATTTTTTTAAATTGTAGTAAACTGGACAGGAATGATTAATGTTGACTATCCATAAGGAATGAAAACCCATTATCTGTACTTGTAATATAATTAGTTGACAAAAATGCATTAAGTGCACTATGATTGTCTTATTTTGAAAACATTACTCTTTAAGTATACAGTAAAACTTGTGAAGTTGAACGCCTCTAGCAATGGAAGACCTCCATTAGTAGAACACTTCAAAGACCTATTACCAATTGGTTTCATGTTACATGAATTAATGTATGTAGAACACCTCCCAATAGAGTCTTTGAAATCTCGTTAAAGTATCGTTTTTAATGAGGTTTTAGGGGATCTGCATTTTTAACCAATAAACATTTTCTTCCATTTGATGGCATATTTGAATTCTGGGTGTAATTTTCTCTCAGAACAACTTTGATTTGCACTGTTATTTACCTTAATTCAATTTCTAGTTTTTCAAGTTCTTTGAAAAAAGTTGGGTTAAATCCCCATTGACACAATTTTGGAAAACCATTAAAAGTTCATTTGCTCTCATAAGGATCATACAATTTTAATGTTAAATCACAGTCCATATCTAAATAAGTTCATATAGTTACATTCCAATGGTGTTTTAAGTTGATTGAAATCTATTTTTCCATTTATATAGAAAATGGTCAATTGGAACACTTTTCAAAACCAGAGATGTTCAACTTCACAGGTTATACTGTATATAGGGGAATATCTCAAAATCAATAAAGCATCAAGTGTTTTAGCAGTATCAGCAGGTTTTGTTTACAAAGGATCATTTAAAGATTTAAAAGACCATTTTCAGCTTTCCCCCTACCCTTTAAAATCCCTCATTGTTTTGCATTTTGTCACCTGCAGTATGACATTGTAGAGCGTGGCACCAAAAACCTTATGGAGATACGGTTTAATTGTGACACCTCACACAGTTGATGAACTCTTTTCAAAACCACATTTCTATAAGTAATTTTACATGTAGATTCCAAATATGACATCAGTTTGACTGAATTGTGAATTTTTAATGAAGTAAATCAAGATTATTTCTACTCGCATCTAGGATATTGGCTTAATAGGCTGTTGTACTATATATATATATCTTTTATTGACTCTTTAGATGTACTAAATTGCATATTTTTCATTGCTGCCATATATGGGTCTATTTTTCCATACCATATTTTGATTGCTGTCACATATGGGTACCTTCAGCATATAGCATTTACTATCATATACAGTTTCAATAAATATCTTGAGATATTCCCCATATACACCAGTAATATTCTTCTAGCCACTACACTCATTAGATGTCAGAATGAAAAAATGAATTATTTATATTTTTGATTGAATTTCAAGGTAAGTAGATTACAGCACAAAAAGGTATGACAAATTACTCCCTTACAAAAAATCCTTTTGAATGTATTGTCTCTTTGAGAAATAGAAAAAAGTACATTGTAATTTGAGAAACATTTATGGCTTATTGTGAGATAAATGTATAGATAGATATATGTAAGAGGTGACATTATAATGGCCTCCTCCAATTCCATGTTGTCACCATCAGTGGTCAGTCTGTATCTCAAATAACTTCACCATTGACATATGATAGAGATGTTATAATGGACTCAACCTTTTGTAGCTGGCAATAGCTATTATCATGTCAACAGACTAGGGGACCTTGGTCATGTAACATTTTGTTACAAAACATTATTTTAGTGACGCATAATATGCCCAGTGTAATATAATAAGCTATTATGAACAAAAGAAATATAAGTATGATTGACTTGAAAGTATGCTATAATAGATCTATAGATGTTACACAAGTGTTTACTTGATGCAATATCTGTTGTCATGGCAACAAATTTTCAATTTCAATTTGTTTATTTCATAAAAACACATACAATATAGTATACAATGAGTGGGTGACACAGGGGTTTGTGTTTATTGCCAAGATGGAGTAAATTAAATACAAAGTATGTTGAAATGCCCTCAATAAAAATACAAATTGTGCCATCAAATTGCCCCTACAAAGAATTAAAGTTGTAACAAATATTTTTTATCTGTTTTTTTTTTCATGAGAATGATGCTTCTGATGGATTTAAAATGTGGGGGTAGTTGGTTCCAAATATCAGGTATAGAATATGATAACATTGATTTTCTATAGTTTGTACGGATTTTTGGGTTGTCAAAAGTTATCTTGTATTGTTTCTTGTATTGTTTCTTGTATTATAATTATGTCTATTTTCAACTGTTTTGAAGAAATTTAGAAATATTTGTTTGTAATTATCCTTGTCATTGATCCATTTAAACATGAATATATATCTTTGTTGCTTATATATCTCAAATATGTTCAAGATTCTTAAATAGTGAAAAAGAGGTAAAGAGTGAGCTCTGAAGTCGCTATTTGTTGCAATCCTTACAATTTTTTTCTGTGAAAGATGAAGAGTATTAAGGAATGTGCAGACTGCTTCACCCCAAATTATATTTCCATAAATAAGATATGAATAGATCAGATAGTAATATGTACTAAGTAAGCTTTTAGCGTTTAATAAATGTTTCACTCTGTATAATATACCTATAGTTCAGGAAATTTTCATGTTCACTGATGTAATGGGATTTCTCTCGGTAAGATTTTGATCAATTATAATTTATAATTTGTATATTATAATTATAACAAAAGTTTATATGTGACACTTGCTCAAGTACTTTATCATTCATAGTGACTATTATGTCATTTCTATTATATTGCCTTTGTCTTGAAGAAAATATGATATATTTAGTTCTCTTGGCATTTAATGAAAGTTTGTTTGTGGCTATCCATTCCTCGATTAGTTTCAGTTCAGCATTCAAAGTGTTTGTAATTTCATTAAGATTTTTTCTTTGTATTAACAAATTGATATCATCAGCAGATAGCACAAAAAATAATCATGGAGAAGATAAGTAAATGTCATTGATGTATATGATAAAAACAAGAGACCTGGCACAACCTCGAGGAATTCCACATGTAATTGTCTCGGGTCTGAAATAGTGTCTATGTGACCGTTTTTTTTTTAATTCTGTTAGAAAAGTAGCTTTTTATCCATTCCAGTACTGAACCACGAATCCCATAAAATTCAAGTTTTTGAGAAATAATATTTTGGTCAATAGTATCAAAAGCTTTTGAAAAGTCAAGAAATACCCCAATAGATAAAGATACATTATTTCAAGAAGTCGGTAGATTTTGCATTAGTTTCTCAGGTAGTTTTGAAAACACTGGTAAAATCGATATTAAAAACCCAATTAAATGAAGTAACAGATAATAATATAATTGATAGTAAGTTCATCTTTGAAATGTGTGATGTTGATTCCTGTGCAGTAGCTTTATTATACCCCAAGCTCGGGCTATATTGATGACAGACCTCAAAGAAATAGTGGTCAGATTGACTTGAAATCCATAAAATGATCATCCGAGGCATGTTATAGACACAATAGATTTTGGGTTATATTGGATACTATGGCAACAAATTAAGGAACTTTCACTTAGATAAGTTTTCAATCTTTAATAATGTGTGTAACCAGATTGTATGTTTTTGATCCATTTATAGACATGCACATGCATGCACCTTTAAAACCACTGAAGAAGAAAATTGACCTCTTCAACATATTTAGATTTCATTTTAGAAAACAATTTTAGAAATAATCATCACTGTTTGTCACCATGGTAACCATAGAGTGTTACAAAATCCTGCAAATATAAAAGTACAAAATAAGCACATAAGTATGCGGTTACATTTATACACGATCTCACTGTTACATAAATATGAATTATTCTTTTGTGTTTAGTTTCATGAGAATGTCAAGAATAACCTTTAATGTAGATTAATTTTTGTGTTCTATAACATTGTTTGCCAACATTCTATTCAATTCAGATTAACATGAAAAAGAAGGCGTAATTCTAGATTTCTGCAGCAACTGACAAACAACAATTTTGTCGATTACTAATTTAAAACATTTCATTGCTTAATAATAATTGTCACAAGAGATTTCAATTATTATCATTACCAACATAAAAGAAACTATCTGAGGTTATTTTGGTTCATTTTACTTATGACAAGAGAACAATTCATTAAATATTGATAGAGGATGATGCGGTTATATCAGTGATTATGGGAGATGAAAGCTTGGCAAGTTGATAACATTGAATATATTAAGTTAGGTTATATCGATAGATATAGCGATATAACTGCTGATTGGAAACCTGACACCAAATAAACAAAAATAAGGGTTAACTCCTTTAAGTTAAATCACTGATGGAGACTTAATATTTAAAAATGACCCAATTTCAGAATACTTTAAAATAGCCTATATCATTCCTGTCATGCCTATTGATACATACATTTAGTATTGAAAAATGACCCAATTTCAGAATACCTTAAAATTGCCCATATTATTCATCTCATGCTTAGTAGAAACACATTACATAAACCATTAGAATACCCAATGATTTTACCTTTTTTTAAGATTTTGAATTCCTTTGAGGTATTATATTCGACTTAAATTAACTCAAAACAAGTGTTGACTGTTTATGTTCAGATTTAAAGCTACATTTGTATTGCCTTTTGGGAGTAGGCGTGACAAGAAATTGTCAATATGGCAGCTCAATTCAAAATGGCTGCAATTTTTTGATTAAAATTTTTTTATCATTCAGGCCCGAAGCCAGGGGGGGGTTCGATGGGTTTTCAAAAAGTGAACCCCCCTTGGCAAATCCTTGCTATGGGCCTGTCATTGATAATTCAAATCCTGGTTCACGGGTAGTATCTAAAGCCCCGCTATGATTGAAAAGTCGCGAGCAAGTTCCCGCTGAAATCGCGAGCATAGTCCTGTTTATTTGTATCACTTTGGAAAATGAACCAAAAGGATGAAAATACTTATTACCGTTCTTTGATACTCCAGCAAAACTTTGAAAACAGATATATTTGACAAAAAATGACATGAAAGATGATTATTTTTTACTTACATGAAGGAAACGGGCGTCAACATGCACGTTTGCATAATTTACTGTTCATATATTACCTTTATCGTTAAAATAAAGGCAATAAATACGATTTACATACTCCATAATAAATATCTGATCAAGATGGTCTGTATTGATAAGTTACTGGACAATGACACCTGCCATGGGGGTCGAAATACATTATTAAAGGTGTTCCAGTGGCCCCGCTGAAAACATGAGGAGGCCCCGCTGAAAACATGAGGAGACCCTGCTGAAAACACGAGCAAATTTCACGACTACCCGCTTCGATCACGAGGAAAGCTTCATCATTATTCCATGAATATAGTAAGCTTCTTTATATGAACGTACACGATAACGTATTAATGACAATCACATAACATATCATTCTATGGCAACATCATAAATATTTCTTCTTCAACTTCAGGCAGTCTAATCCATCTGTCAGCGGCATGATCAAATTTTTATATGTGAATAGACTTTGTGCATTTCGGAGTTAAATGTACATTCTACATAATTCACTATTCCAAGGATTATACTTCTGAGGACACATATATTTCATTGGTTTCTTTGTCCGACCGTTTATTCGTGCGTGCATTCGACCGACCGTTCGTTCGTGCGTGCGTTCGTCCGACGGTCCGTTCGTTCATGCGTGCGTTCATCCGACCGATTGTTCGTTCGTGCGTGCATCGCCCAACCATGCGTTCGTGACTGTCAAGTTGCCAGGTTCAATAAAACTAATAAATGAACTTAAGTTGCTGATTTGGTTAAACAAATTACTATATTGTATTTATAATCACAAAACATTAATTACAAAAATAGACAAGGTATACTAATACTACACATAAAACTGGACGACTGATGCTGCAAAACGTACACACTGGATACGTGGAGGGTTACTGGGTTTATGCTGTACGTAGACGGACGTTATGGTAGGTGATACAATACACGTGAACTATCGAGAGTCTAATATCACGTTCACCACGTAAAGATACTGGCTGGACGTGTTGGTAGACTTCTTACTCGAGTCGGTTTATACTCACATCGACGTTACTGGATAAGAGTCTATGAATGTGATAATAGTCACTTGGTTTTATGCTGTACGTAGACAGACGTTATAGTAGATAATTCATTGCACGTGAATTAACGAGAGTCTAATATCACGTTCACCACGTGAGGATACAGGCTGGACGTGTTGGTAGACATCTTACACTAGTCCAATATTACACTGATACAACTCAGACACAGTTTATAGACGCACAAGAAGATACAAGGAGACAGTCTGTGCACATACGCAGATACATTTCTCGTTGACAGCTACATACTACACCAAAACTATAAAAAATGGATAATAAACCTATCTAAGACACACGTTTCTAGAATATATGAAATATAATATTTTCAACTAGTTCCCTAAACTGGTACAGATAACCAATGGATGCTAAGAATAATATGCCATATAAGTGAACACCGAATACAAGAAAATTATAATTATCTTGAACAATATAACTTATCCTTGTACAATATAACTTATCCTTGTACAATATAACCTATCCTTGTACAATTTAGCAATTACAATAAATAAACACAAAGGAAATATTGTAATGAATATATACTAAATAAATACCTCAGTATGTTTCACTAATGTTGACCACATATTGTACAAAGTCACGCCACGTGTTATGACAAGGTAGATGACATCGACGCTACACGTACATGTTGACACTAGACTTCACAGGAAAACGCACAACAGATAAACGTGGTTCACAAATGCAAAGGTATTTATATGAGTGGACAGTGAGTGAAATAGTGAATGAAATACTAAGGAAATGGAATGATGCCAATTGATTTCTATACTTATGAATACTACCTGTAGAGCTAAGAGTATATTGAATGATAAAACTCGCGTTTGACTGAAACGCTAACCATACTTGACAGTGACAGCGTTCGTCCGACCGTCCATTCGTGCGTGCATCCGTTCGTGCGATTGTCCGTCCGTTTGTGTGCGCATGTGTTCGTCTGACCGTCCGTTTGTGCTTGCTTTCGTCTGACTGCCCTTCATGGGTTCGTGGGTTCGTCCGTCTAGGCGTCCGTTCGTCCGTGCGTGCTTTCGTTCAACCGTCCATTCATGCGTGCGTTCGTCTGTTCGTTCTTTTTGCGTTCGTTTGTGTGTTCGTTCGTGCGTGCGTTCATTCGTGCGTTTGTTTGTAACTACGTTCTTGCGTGCGTGGGTTCGATCTTTTGTAAATTGTTTTCTTTTATCTTTCCTTCATGCGTTCTTTTGGCCGCCTATCCGTCCGTTTGTTTATTCATTGTTTTTTCGACTGTTCTTCTGTCCATCCGTGCGTTCTTTCCTCGTTCGTTTGTTCATTTGCAGGTTTTCATCAAAATTTGTCTTTTCACTGCCATATGAAAGAATGTAAATAATCAAAAAAGCAAGCAAGGACGTGAGGAAGTAAACAAGCAACAAAGTAAGTAATTGAGTAAGCAAGCAAGTAAAGAAGGAATGGAGGAAGTAAATCGAGGAAGTGAAAGTGGGAGTAATATAGGTAAAGATTAAAAGGTGGATTGGATCGAGTGGATTGGATTCATGTAAAAGGTGGATTGGATCGGGATTCTTCAAAATATGGATTTTCCTTAAAAAATTACATTGATCTCCCATCAGACGATTAATGCTCTCCTCACTTCCACAATGTCAAATAATAGAAATTATATTATTTTGCTTGGGTAGGCTGGAAAGGTGATCTGATACACAATCTTATTCATTCCAAGGGTAATTTTAGACATTTCAAAAATCATAAGGCAGACTTTTGAAGTCGAAGATCCATATCATCTGTTTTCAATTCAAACAGAACATGGCAGAAATGTCTTGGGAACACCCACACATCAATTTGAATGACAGCTCTTATCTACAGATCTTTGTTTATTATGTCTTTCTAATGTTGATTTACAAGGGAGAGCAGTCGAATACTTTAGAGTATCTATCAACTAATTGAAGATGTATTTGTCATTGCTTTGTCGATTCCTTAAAGGGACCCATGTAATCACAAAATACTTTAGGCCGGAGGAAATTGCTTAGAGGGAGATCAACTAAAAAATCCATATTTTGAAGATTCCCGATCCAATCCACCTTTTACATGAATCCAATCCACTCGATCCAATCCACCTTTTAATCTCTACCGTAATATAAGTAAGCAAGGAATGAAAAAAGGAAGGAAGGAGGGAAGGAAAGAAGCAATGAAGGAAGGAAGGAAGCAAGGAAACGAGAAAGCGGGGAGGGAAGAAAGCGAGGAAGCAAGCAAGGAAGCAACTGAGGAAGAAAGGAAGGAAGGAACCGAGGGAGCAAGGAAGGAACGATGCGAGTAAAGAATTAAGCAGGGAAGCTAGGAAGTAAGGAAGCGAGGAAGAAAGGAAGCCAGGAAGCAAAGAAGGAAGGAAACGAGGAAGCAAGGAAGGAAGGAAGCAAGCAAAGATGCAAAGAAAGAAAGGAAAAAAGCAAGGAAGTAAGTAAGGAAGGAAGGAGGCGAGAATGCAAGGAAGCAAGCAGGGATGAAAACAAGGAAGAAATGAGGCGAGAAAAGAAGGACACGAGGAAATAATGAAGGAAACGAGGAAGCAAGGAAGGAGGAAAGGAAGAAGTGAGGAAGGAAGGAAGCAAGGAAGGAAGGAGGGAAGTGAGGAAGGAAGGAAGCGATGAAGCAAGGAAAGAAGGAAGCGAGGAAGCAAGGAAGGAGGAAAGATGGAAGCGAGGAAGCAAGAAAGGAATGGAGCGAGAAAGGAAGGACGCGAGAAAAAAAACGAAAGAAGCGAAGAAGCAAGGAATGAGGAAAGAAGGAAGCGAGGAAGGATGGAAGCAAGGAAGGAGGGAAGTGAGGAAGGAAGGAAGCAAGGAAAGAAGAAAGTGAGGAAGCAAGGAAGAAAGTGAGGAAGCATGGAAGGAGGGAATGAAGCAAGGAAGGAAGGAAGAAAGGAAGGAAGTGAGGAAGAAATTTGTGAAGGAAGCGAGGAAGCAAAGAAGGGGGAAAGAAGGGAGCGAGGAAGGAAAAAAGCAAGGAAGGAAAGAGGGAAACGAGGAAAATAGGAAGCAAGGAAGGAATGAAGCGAGGAAGGAAAGAAGCAAGGTAGGAAGGAAGTGAGCAAGGAAAGATTGGGAGGAAGGAAGGACGCGAGGAAGCAAAGAAGGAAGGAAGGAAGCAAGGAAGGAAGCAAGGAAACGAGAAAGCGAGGAGGGAAGAAAGCGAGGAAGCAAGGAAGGAAGGAACTGAGGAAGAAAGAAAGGACGGAAGCGAAGGAACAAGGAAGGAACGATGCGAGGAAGCAAGGAAGGAACTGAGGAAGCAAGGAAGGAAGCAAGAAAGGGAACGAGGAAGAAAGGAAGCCAGGAAGCAAAGAAGGAAGGAAACGATGAATCAAGGAAGGAAGGAAGGAAGCAAGCAAAGACGCAAGAAAGGAAGAAGGAAAAAAGCAAGGAAGGAAGTAAGTAAGGAAAGAAGGAAGAAGGCGAGAAAGCAAGGAAGCCAGGAGGGAAGGAGGGAATGAAGCGACAAAAGAACAACGCGAGGAAAGAATGAAGGAAACGAGGAAGCAAGGAAGGAGGAAAGAAGGAAGTGAGAAAGGGAAGAAGCAAGGACGGGAGGATGCAAGTGAGGAAGGAATCAAGGAAGCAAGGAAAGAAGAAAGCGAGGAAGCAAGAAAGGAGGAGAGAAGGAAGCGAGGGAGGAAGCGAGGAAGCAAGGAAGGAATGAAGCGAAAAAGGAAGGACGCGAGAAAAAACGAAGAAATCGGGGATGCAAGGAAGGAGGAAAAAAGGAAGCGAGGAAGGAAGGAAGCAAGGAATGAAGGAGGGAAGTGAGGAAGGAAGGAAGCGAGGAAGGAAAGAAAGAAGGAAGCGAGGAAGCAAGGAAGAAAGCAAGGAAGGAAGCGAGGAAGCATGGAAGGAAGGAATGAAGCAAGGAAGGAAGGAGGAAAGGAAGTGAGGAAAAAATTTATGAAGAAAGCGAGGAAACAAAGAAGGAGTAAAGAAAGGAGCGAGGAAGGAAAAAAGCAAGGAAGGAAGGAAGGAAGCGAGGAAAGAAGCGAGGAAGCAAGGAGGGAAGGAAGCGAGGAAGCAAGGTAAGATGCGAGGAAGGAAGGAATCAACGAAGGAAGGAAGCAAGAAAAGAAGAGGCGAGGAATAAAGGAAGGTAGGAAGGAAGCGAGGAAGGAAAGAAGCGAGGAAGCAAGGAAGAAAGGAAGCCAGGAAGGAAGGAAACGAGGAAGCAAGGAGGGAAAGAAGCAAGGAAGGGAGGGAGCAAGGAAGAAGGAAGTAAGGAAGCAAGGAAAGGAGGAAGCAAGGAAGGAAGGATGCGAGGAAGGAAGTAAGCGAGGAAGAAAGGAAGGAAGGAAGCAAGGAAGGAACGAAGCGAGGAAGGAAGGATGCAAGGAAGCGAAGAAGGAAGGAAGGGAGGAAGCAAGGAAGGGAGGAAGCAAGGAAGGGAGGATGCAAGAAAGGAAGGAAAGAGGCAAGGATGGAAGGAAGGAAGCGAGGAAGGAAGGATGCAAGAATGCGAGGAAGGGAGGAAGGAAGGAAGCGATGAAGCAAGGGAGGAGGGAAGCAAGGAAGGAAGCAAGAAAGAAAGGAGGGAAGTGAGGAAGGAAGGAAGCTAGGAAGGGAGGAAGCGAAGGAATAAAGTGAGGAAGCAAGGAAGAAATGAAGCAAGGAAGCAAAGGAGGAAGGAAGCGAGGAAGGAAGGAAGCAAGGATGGAAGGAAGAGAGGAAGGATGTGAGGAAGCCAGGAAGCAAGGAAGGAAGCGAAGAAGCACGGAAGGGAGGAAGCGAGCAAGCAAGTAAGCAACAGGAGATTGATATAGGAATAATATTCATAAACATTATTCTGACTAAATCATTTTAGGTTGACCTAAACGCACGCTTATTCGTGTATCTTACTGAATATCGACTTGTACTCAAAGATGGAAGAGAGGGGACAGTTGCAATACAGAGAATACAGAATATTTCCTATGGACTATGTAGTAAGATCACACGATAAAAAACGTTATACAACGATGTGAAGCGCAACATAGGATATATAGTGCTTTCGATATGCTGTATTTCCACTTGATTTCATCTCGTGCAATATACGGAATTTTTTTGAGCACAATATATCCTATATTGCACTTCAAATCATTCAATAACTTATATTACTTCAAATTATGAAAATGAGGTTAAATGTTTAACAATTCGTCCGATCTAATACTCATCACATTTCTCAGATGATCTTTCTTATTCTGTAAAATGGCATGGAAATATGATACTGCAGTGTTCCATAACAACGTATCATAATATGAACTATATTAAACAGTTGTATTTGCTGTTATTGAGAATCGTATTGACAAATAATGTATTCATCAAACTGGGTACAATAGTGGATCAAGGTGGGTACGAAAGTGGGAGATTTTCAGGGTATAATCGGGATTCACTCCATTTTTGAGAGATACTTGCTAGTGTTTTCAGCGGGACCTCCTCATGTTTTCAGCGGGGCCTCCTCCTGATTTCAGCGGGATCTTTGCTTTATTGCTCCTGCTAGAAGCGGGGCCTTGAGGGATATGATAAAATTTAAATATAAAATGTTCTGTAAAGCTTTAGGAAGTGAAACTCGGTACATCTTTATTTCATATCACTATCGTTATTTCAACCACAGGACAACATCGTTCTTCACCAATAACGTATAGAAATATATAGATAAAGATTCAAAATGATACTTTCTCTCTTCAATTGACAAATAACGAACCACAGAACGACCGCTCGTGATACATTTTTTCCAGCAGTTGCTTTTTTAGTCTCAATACCATGTAATCATTGGGAAAAATTAAAAGAAAACGTTTTGTAAATCATACAATTCAAGAACACAAAAAAGAACCCATGACTTCTTTTTATTCCTCGCGATTTCAGCGGGAACTTGCTCGCGACTTTTAAATCATAGCGGGGCTTTAGATACTACCCGTGTGGTTGGTGGTTCAAATTTCATAGACTGATGCCTAATAGGCATGGGAACTTTGTTCCATAGGGAATTTTCACTTTGGAGGCAAAGTCTGCAATGCTGTTATGGATACTGGGATGTCTTAATAGGCAAGGTTAATAGCTCAAATCATCTAGTTTCTAATGGCAAACTGTGATCCATTGAATAGAACAAAACGAGTCATTATCAATTAATATGCAATACATTGTATTACCCACATTATCAATTAGTCAATTTATCATGATATAACATGCCTTTATCATGCCAACTAACATCATACCTACACAACCCTAGTAGGGGGGGGTTACCAGAGTCTTGTATCTCATCATACATATAGTGCACTGACATTTTGTTGAAAAGATATGAATCTTTTTGGAAGCTCTATTACAGATTTATGTTTTGGAGTCTCGTACACCTTATGATTTGGACGCATTTACACGTCTTTATGTTTTGAATGAGTGATATGATAATTTATAGGATTTTTGTGGGATTTTCTACTCCGTACAAGTGCTTTTTTATCTCTTGGTGGGGAGGGGGAATTAGACATTGTTTCTTTTCATATTAGACCATGCTTTTGGATAGTTTGGGAATGTTTTCCGTTTAACTAGTCTACACATTTCTTGCTGTGTTCTGCAAAAAAATTGGTCCTTTCCCTTTGGCACTTGTTCATACATATTTACAGGTAAAAGATAGAGATGCGGCATGGGAGATTTCGTTCAATGTGTGTCTGGGTTCCATTTGCGTTTCTAGATTCCATGAATGAAAGCTATGGAGTTGCTTTAAATGAATTGAAGCTATACTCAATTTTAATCATCCGAGTGAATAACCCTCAAGTGGGATATAGTGAAGCCATATGTATGACAGTATGATAGGTTCCATCTGAAAAAAAATAACCAAAATTCATTACTTTATAAATCCCTTCAAAGAACAATGAAACCTGTATATCGGAAAATCTCTCAAGTTTGAACAACTCTCATTGTGAACACCAAATATATTTTCTCCCATTGACTTACTAATATTGAAAACCTTCAATTTTTTGGGGGGTTTAAAAAAAGAAAACCTTGAATTATGAACACCTGCCAATCTGAACACTTTTGGCCAATCCCAGTGGTAATCAGATTGGACAGATTTTACTATCTTATCAAATTCGCATTATACTGGAAAACCTATTATAAAAACTCTTCCCTCATTTGCACCTGAGTTTCGCCTCCATGTACATTAATTTTTAATCACTAAATTAAAGTTGATAAGTTTGATTTTTGACTCTGAAAAGTTTGTTAATAGAATACATGGCTACCCACATGCTGTATTGGCATACCATAATGGATTTAGTAATAGTAATAGTATTAAAAGTCTGTGTAAAAGCATCCCTCATTTGCACCTGAGTTTCGCCTACATGTATATTAGTTTTTAATAACTATTCAAAAGTTAATTAGTTTGAATTAGGAAGATGAAAAGTTTATTAACAGAATCTGATGCTTGCTGAGTACCATTGAAATTATTGTATCCTGTTGTTACCATTAATTTATGATTTGGCTTGATGTTGTGTTAGTTAACGATGATGAGTTATGGAATATTATGTGTTTGATTGAAAATATATGTGGTTACATGGATGCTATTACATGGGAATCTTGTAACAATTTAATCACAATAACATCTGTCAAAATAACACAAACTGATGCAAATGGATTGGCTTTTGAGATAAATTGTCATTCTCTCGTAAAGTAAAATGATACATGAGCTTAAAATGTCATCACACCTTATCCATCTCTGTCCTTCTGGACAAGTAAGATGCAACTGTGAGAGGTGCTATGAGTATCAGAATGCCACTCTTCTGAGGTTTTTTGAATTGTTATAGTGAATACTAATTGATTATCATAAAAATCTGCATCCTAAATGAAGCTAAACATTGCATGTGTATTTCAACCTGTATTTGTTTGTGTCCCACCCTGTAGTTTAGTTTCACCCCGTGTTTGGAATCATTTTGTCACGCTCTGTATTTTATATTCTTGCAGGAGAAAGGTACATGCAGCCAGTACTTCTGGAGGTCAATTACGTCCCCCAACACAGTAGAATTTGCAGCGCCCACCCTGAAACGTACAATGACACTTTTGCAGCGCTTTTCCTCGGTGATCTGGACAATACCAAGATGACTGTACTATAGGATATAGAGCATCAACTATAGTCAGTGGAGGATGGAAACAAAGTTATATTGCATTTTTGAAGTGATATTGCATTTTTCATAAAAAGTCTAATGGTGAGATACATATCTACCAGACACAAGTACGAGTGGAACACATTTTTCATAAAAAGACGGATTGTCAGATACATATCTGCCAGACACAAGTACAAGTGGAATGATTTTTCATAAAAAGACTAATAGGCGAATACATATTTGCCAGACACAAGTACAAGTGGAATGATTTTTCATAAAAAGATTAATGGTGAGATACATATCTACGAGACACAAGTACAAGTGGAATGATTTTTCATAAAAAGACTAATAGGCGAATACATATTTGCCAGACACATGTACAAGGATACATGTACATCTATTGGGAAATACTGCATTTTTCATTAAAATTCTAGTACTAATAATCTCATTCATTTCTGCCAAAACCAAATATGATGGAATAAATGTATAAAGATTGTCATAATACTTTGCCATCAATAATAATATGTTAAAGAGCTGAAACATCTGGATTTTGAATTAATATTTAATAGATAAGACTGCGTTTCTTGGTACGTGAAGTCAGATATTTTTTCCGTCCCAGGATTAAAATTTTAATGAATATTACGTAAAAACGGCGTTAATGAAAGCTAAGTGTAGTGTACTATCAATCCCCTGAAGTATTAAGGGCCTTTTTGAAGTTTTTGGTTAAGTTTTTGAAAATGTGTGACCATCTTTTCAAAAATTGATGCCTATTTTTGAAAATTAAGGCCCATTTTTTCGAAATAAATGTATATTCTAAAAGTGCAGTTGATTTTTTGAAACTTACCAGTAGGTCCAAAAATGGCAATTTTTGTTAGCAAAATAAAAAAAATTGGGATCACCTTAAGGGAGAGATGTCCACCAATGGGGAGAGTGGGTAACAGAGGAAATGACCATTTAAATGACACAATGTTAAAAGTATAGCATAACCTGGTTCACTGTCCTTAATTCCATTAAATAACATTTGGTGAAAAATTACAGAAATAAGTTAAAAACACAAAAACTAGAATGATACTCAACATGTAGCTGATAATTTTGAGGTAGATCCACATGATGCATATTTTATTTTATGTAATCTTCATAATTCTATCAATATTCAATGAAATGGATAATAATTTACAAAATTTTATGTGGATATTTACAAGTAAAATATAGATTGAAATCAAATATTCGTTAAAATTATTTCCACAAATTATTTTTTGATTATTTTCTTGGAAGTGCAGAACTACCTTAAACTACATTTTCCACTCTGAATGCCCTAATAACTGAATAATGTCAAGTCCATTAGAACTGCAAGTGGAGACAGGGTCAAATGTCTGCTTAAAATAAATGATCACATTTAAATGAAGGGACTGTAAATCCTATTTGAAGATCTCTATTACTTTGAGGTATTACTAGATTCCCTTGTGTATAAGCCATAGTGGCCATTTAGCTGATATTGAGTTTGACGAGTATTCTTAATCAGTATCAGTCTTAGGAGTTTACAAATCTGCTCCATGCTTCGTGATTGATTTGGTAAAAGTCAACAATATTGGCTGTTGACTCCATGATTTAAGAGATTAGAGAGATGTCTTTAATTTGTTAAAAGATTGAGCTCCAGGTACCTGGATTGTGCCAGGAACTCCTGCCAGCGTTTCCGTATTTGACATTTCTTACACTTCCATGAAAGATGTCTCTTTAGCACTTCAATTCCATCTATCCTCTCTATTATTGTTTGGGCAGCCTGAGACTTTGCCGAATCTTCTTTTAATTCATTTTTATTCCATCATATCCTTAGCATTTGGATATTTCACATTTCTATTTGACATCAATTGATTCCCAATATTTCAAATACATTTCAAGAGCACTTGTAAACCATAGGGTTTTAAGTACGTAATTTTTGATTGGATTGACCACTTTAAACATGACGCAATGGAGGGCTGAATGATTAAAAATGGACTTCTCAAACAAGTAACAAAAAATATTAATCTTAAAAATGGGAAGGCATCTTAGGAAATGATTGAAAACCAGTAACAAAAAGGCTCAGACTTACATTTTTCCAGTTTACAAAATTAGGTTTAATATGTGTAATTGGTCTTTCCTGCATTTATCTCAACAAAACATATTAGATAGAGACACATTCAGAATAAGTTTCAATATAATTATACAATATGTTTATACTCTCATCATTTTATGTCATTCCTATTTGCAACAAAGACCAACAGTTTGACTTTATTTCAGGATAATCATTAGATTTTCAAAATGATTTTGGACATTTCTGCATCTTAGATATCCAATTACTTCTATTTTTTAAAATCAAATCAGTATGATTTTTTGAGATTGCGTCTAATGTTGTATCTCATACTTAAGTGGGTTTGGGGTAGATATAACTCGGGAATATATATCATATCTGAGGAGCGGGCAGGATATATTGTATATGTCCCGCTCCAGGCCAAATGCGGGCAGATATAATATATCCATCCCGCTCCTGGGAATTTTTCAAAAGTTTAAAAAAGTTTAAATATCAAAAGTTTTAATTTTTTAATTTTAAAATTAAAATTTTTTTAAGTTTAAATGTTACAATTTCATTGTATTGAACAAAAAGAATATTACGAAAATGTTAAATATAAATATCTTGTCATTTGAAAAAGGTGGAAAAGGTTATATCTATCCTAAACCCACTCAAGTATGAGATACACCAGTTATGCACGGTCGGTTTGGATTCATGAAATATCCCTTGGGATATACAATACATCTTCCCTCGGTCCCTTCGGTCCCTCGGGAAAATATATTGTATATCCCTCGGGATATTCCCTGTATCCAAAACCTCCCAGTATATAACCCTTATTTATACTCTCTTTATCCCATGTACTCTGTTTTTATAAGATGCAAAAAAGAAAATTATCTGGCACCTACTCTCGGACATAATGACCTGAGTACATCTAAACCTGACTCCCTGACCTTTACTTCCATTTAGAGGTCTCTAATTAAAGTAATAATGCCAAGCCCCATTAGGGCAAGAGAAACTGAAGGTTGAGCGTCCCTTAAAATAATTATAACATTTCAATATAGCTACTCTAAATCTTATTGGAAGATCTATTTCACTTGAGGTATTAGATTCCCATGTTTTTGTAATAGCCATTTAGCTGACATTGAGTTTGATAAATGTACTGATCTCATATCAGTTGGGAGTTAACAAAACTGTTCCATGATTATAAAGTGTGGCCTTTTCTAAAGTAGTTTGTGTCAAGAGGATGTCTGTAGAAAATACAGGGTGTCAAATAAATATGTTCTCCCCCTGTAACTTTAACATCCACATAATGTTGCATAACATTTTTGTCTGCAAGTTATCTGAATTTTTCTTTAGCACATTAAAACTAGGAATCATGGAGCAACTCTACAAGAAGTTTCAGATGACTAGCTCAAGTAGATGCACGTTTATGCATAAAAGTTCATACTCTTGAAATTAAGGGGGAGAACATATTTATTTGACACCCTGTACCTTTACTCGTTTCACCATACATTGTTTTATAACACTTCACAACTCATATTCAGTTTCAATTTTCACATTTTTATTCAGTACTCCAAGCTTCTTAAATTCTACAAACTTACAATATGTAATTCTCGCAAGTACAATTTTGGTAAAGTAGAAATTATACAATTAAAGTAAAAATTATACAATTATTGATCTGTTTTGAAAACCTAAATGTTAGCTTTTACTGTTACACTGCCACAAAACGCTTGTCTGGATATAAACTTTGTTGATTTTTCAAGTCAGATGCTTAGTTACCAACGAAGGTTTTCTTATGAAGCAGTTGTGTTACACAAGCACAAAATTCCTTCATTGTGAAGTTTTTTTTGTCAAAATGCTCCATATTGAAGCTTTTTAACCCTTCTGTGTAAAAGGTACCAATGTGAACAAAAATGTTTTGATATAATATTACTGAGGTCATACATTACTGATTAAAAAGCCCTAAAACCTGTTCAAGTGGAACACATTTGGTTCCTCTGAAAAGTGTTCCACTTTGGAGGTGTTCCACTTACAGAGGCTCATTTAACAATAAGTCGGTTGGTCTTGGGACTCTGACTTACAGAATTGATCAAAAGTACAATATGAATAAAGCAAACCTAATTATGCCAAGTAATCGCCTCCAAAGTGTTACATAAAATAATTACAACCGATCAAGGAGCTTTAAGAAAATACAATTCTCAAAGGGTCAACAAATTTGGAGGTTTGATACTTGTAGACATAGAGGGAATAGCACATTAAATTCACAATAGGATAAAACAGTTCATCAGTTCCTCAAGGAATTTGACAAAGTAAAAGTCTATAAGAAATCAAAAATTTAATTCTAGAATGTTGCTTTCAGTTGAAGTTGTTATAGAAACTGTCCTGAATTGTTCCAAAATCCTTTTAAACTGTCTCTCCCTGAAACTGTAAATGAATTAGATGTTTTTAGGTCACGTGTTGTGGGCTATTATTATTTTATATCAGTCCCTTGGGGTATTTATCCTTTATCCTTAATTCCCAATGTGAACTATTTTTCAATTAAAGGGACGACAAAGACTGAAGAAAAAAAAATTGTCAAAATTAAAAAGAAATTAAATCACATATCCCTGTTTTTCCTATTTTCTGAAAATCCAACAGTTCGGACTTTATTTCATAATAATTCTTTGATGCTCAAAGATATCTGGCAAGAAGGGAGAATCTCTTATCTAATTCTAATGAATTTGGACATTCCTGGATCTTAAATCTTCAATTACGTCCATATTTGATCCGATATCCTTCAGCATTATACTCTATCATTTGCTGCCACTTTATTGTACAGGGTGTCAAATAAATATGTTCTCCCCTTAATTTCAAAATTATGAACTTTTGCGCTTTTAAGTGCATCTAGTTGAGCTAGTCATCTGAAACTTCTTGTCGAGTCGCTCCATGAAGCCTAGTTTTGATGTGCCAAAGAACTATTCACATATCATGCTGACAAAAAAATTATGCAACATTATGTGGATGTTAAAGCTAGGGGGGGGGGGGGGTTATTTGACACTCTGTACAATGTACATGTCTTTTTCCATACCAAATGTAATATCCTATTAAAGGGGATAAAGGGGGTATCATCTATTGCAATACAAGGTCTACTAATATAGGCTCAAAGGATTAATGTAAAAAATGGTCCAATTAGTTATCATCATTATTTGGTTTAACAGATGTAAACACCTTGGCGTTGTATACAAGGTGTCACTCAGAAAATTTCATCTCAATTTTAGATTTTATTTTTACTCTAAAATCTAATATCGGCTCATTTAAGAAGTTCTAAACATTTTTACTTAAAACATAAGGCTTAATTGGTCTCCTTCTTTGATATTGCCTTCACAATCCTCGAGATTTGGTTGTAATTGTATAAAATAAAATATTTATTTCAGGGCAATGCCCATTTATAATTTCTCCATGTGTGAATAAAGCCAAGGGAATCTGCTTGAAATCTTCTTTGATGATCCATTTAGTCGTCTTATTTCTCTGATTCTTTATAACGAGACACTTATCAAGTATCCCTTTCTCCCCGTCAGTGCTTCTTGTTCCTTCCATCTAGTTTTTGTAGGAGTCCACGCTGAAAAGCAGAAATAAAAACAAATTAAGTCTATTTTATGTTCTATTTACAGTATAGTAAATGTTTTAAAAGTACAAATTTGGCCCAAGGGAAAGTCTATAGATTTTTCAGACCTAAACTGTTAAAAAATTGGGTCTGAATTTTGGGAAAAAAATCATTTTGACCCGGAGAGAAATTTTTTTTATATAAATTGTGGATCTTGTTCGTTCTCATTTTTAACAAATTATGGTTGGTGAGAAAAATATTTATGATTTGATATTTGGGTATTCAACTTTTAGCTGTTTGTTTGAAAAAATAGAGGTTGACACACAAAAAAATGTCCTCCCATGAACGATTTACAGTTCACACCTGGGTCAAGGTTTTCTTTGATCTAATTATTCTTTACTCAATAATACATTTATCTTTTGTCTGAAATGTAATAATAGCTACTCATTATCACTGATTTCCTGTTAATTAGACGATTAAGTTTACAGCCTTGTCATAGCGTTTATCCAAGGCTACTCTATCAAGTTGTACTCTCTTAGGTGAGTTTTTCATTGAATCTATGGTTCCCATTACAATACACTATGTTTCCTGTTTTTCTGGTTTTCCATATAATGCCCTTTGGCAGTGAGAGAGTTAATTTTCATAACAAGATTAGTAAAGCTACTGTAGAACAGCTAATGCAACTTGTCCATTATTCTATTATTTCATTTAAAGTGTCTCACATATTCGATCAAAACTTGCCATGCAAACATGTTAGTCTACTTTACTGGCCCCCCTTGCTGTAACAAGGAACCCAAAACACATTAAAACGTAAACATAAACCAATTAGTCACTTCACTTTGAAAGTGGGGGTGTTAGCAAATGTGTATTAGGCCATAAGAAGTAGATTCTTTGTTTTGCGTCCTGGCAAAATCCAAATCATGCAAGGGTACAAGGAAAACAAACACAAACTCAAGAAAAAAACACAAACTTGTTTGCTGAGAAATGTATACATTTTATGGGCATAAAAAGGGATGACATATCAATTTGCAGTGATTACAAACACATATCTATACATTTTATACAATATATTTAAACTTCAAGGGTAAAAAATAAGAAAATACACAATGTATGCCAAAATAATTATAACACTGTCAATTTTGACGCACATCAAATTATCCGCCATTTCGTCTGATTCTGATTGAACGAAATGTAATGGTACTTTCAGACCCTTGTGATTGCTATTTTGATGTGTTTGTTTTTTTCTGATTTACTCAAAATCGTGCAAGCAAGGGGACGCAAAGTAAAGAATCTACTTCTTATGGCCTTAGCAGAATACGCTGTGTGCATGGACTAACACAATATCAGTGGTCATTTACTGTGTCAACTTAGTAACCCTTGCATATCGTGGTCACTCAAGTATTGAATAATTTTTTTATGATCTAAATGTTTGTGGTTTATAAAAAAATGTGATATATTTTAGTTAGAAATACATTAATTAATATATTCATTCAAACAGCACTAGAATGCGGGAAGAAAGAGCAATGGTGACAAAATGCAGACAGAATTTTCCGTAAGGGTTTCAAACATTTCTGAGTTGGATTTGGATTTTGGATTTGAGTTGGATTCGCCTTTTATACGTGAGCTGACACACTCGCAAACGCTGATTGGATAAAGATTGCGAGAATCTTTAAATTCATCTACATTCTATACAAAACATCTACAGCACAGTTGCAGCATATTTAGTACACCTATGTAGTTGAGGTTACGAGCTAACAATTCATCTGATGAAAATATAACTTCCTTATACCATAGATTATAGTAGGACATCAACAGTACACAGCAAATATTTCCCAAGGTTGAATCAATGTTGATGGCAAATCAGGGTTGATTCAAGCTTGATATCAAGCTTGATTCAACATTGAAAAACCTCAATGCTGAATCAACCTTAAAATCAAGCTTGATTAAACATTGATATTCTCAAGCTTGAAACAAGCCTGAAAAATCAACACTGAATCAAGCTTGAGATTTTCAAGTCAAAATCTGCAATGAATCAAGCAAGAATCTATGTTGATTTTCTCAAGCTTAATTTTTTCAGGCTTGATTCAAGCTTGAGGACATATTTCAGATTTTTTCAACTTTACTTTCAAATTTTTTTTTCAAACTTTTTTTAAACTTTTTTTCAAAATTTTTTTTTTCAAATTTTTTTCGAATTTTTGCAACTTTTTTCAAAATCTTTTTTCAGCTTTTTTTTCCAAAATTTATTTTTTCAAAATTTTTATCAATTTGTTTTTCAAATTAAAAAAAAATTTAACATTTTTTTTCAATTACCTGAAGCGGGAAGATATGCTCGGAAGCCGGGGAATATGGCGGGAGATATGGAGGTTCTGGATATGGAAACCTCAAAATCAGGATTACAGGATATATCTACACTGCCAAAATAACTCCACGCTAAATCAGCGTAGGCGCTAATTTAGCGCCGAATTGGTACAGAATTGGTACAAATAATGTTTGTGTGGAATTAGCGCTAATAAATCAGTACCAAATCAGTACAAACCTCAGTTAGTGCGAAATCAGCACTAACTTAGCAGTGCTTATTTAGTGCTAAGTTAGTGCTGATTTAGCACTAACAAAACTTATATTTTTTCTGACTATTATTACAGTATTATTGATTGAATTAAGCAATATTGATATTACTTATTTAGAGTTTGAAATATTTTATTATAAATAACATTCATTATTGTGATTTCTTCATTGAGTTTGACATCTTAGGGAAATCCCTGGGAAATCCCCTTGAACTTTTGACCTATGACGTCACACATTCTATGACTCATACAGGAAGTTTGAGAAGCCACATATTTTAAATTTTGATTTCTGTGCCAGTCTCTGCCATCTGTCTGCAATTTTCACTTGTAAGTATATATTTGATTGTTTTGTTATGAATAAATGAGCATATGTTAGGTGCACCTATTATATAGAAGACTTTCAAATACCAGATAGGCTCTATGGGATAGGCTACTGTGAAATTCAAAGATAGATCTAAATATAAATTCAGGAGAAATTGAAAAAAAAAATTCAAAGTCACTGAAAGTCTTGTCTTAAAAGTCCAGGGCATAGGCTAGTTCTTTGGAGTTTTAAAAAAGATATTTATAATCTGCAATGCATAACGTTTTCTGAATGAAGCCAGACATGGTCCAAAATCCTGGCCAAAATGTAATTTCTGAGTGATATTTCTAGGCTACCTTTTTATTTTATAGACTTGATGTTGGCATTGGTCAGATGTTGGTACATCATGAGGAGTGAAGGCAGTGAAGAATACAATAATTACATAATCAATGGATGGAGGGCCATGTATCAGCAATGTGGAATGCAACCGGGAATAGCTATTTAGGCTAGGTGCGTAGAGTAAACGTTTTAACAGTTTTATGAAATCTAGGCTAATAATAATTTATTTTGCTTATTCAGCGTATCGTTTGAATCGTGCCCCCATGTCATATCACCATGTTCATTTCACATCACCATGTTCCCATGTTATATCACCATGTTCATTTCATATCACCATGTTCCCATGTTAGATCACAATGTTCATGTCATATCACCATGCTCCCATGTTATATCACCATGTTCATGTCATATCACCTTGATCCCATGTTATATCACCATGTTCATTTCATATCACCATGTACCCTTTTATATCACCACGTTCATTTCATATCACAATGTTCCAATGTTATGTCACCATGTTCATTTCATATTACCTGCTCCCATGTTATATGTTTGTTTTATATCATCATGCCCCAATGTTATATCACCATTCATTTCATCATGCTACCATGTTCATAACCTTATTATGCCCTCATGTCATATCACCAATTCAACATGTTAATAGCCTATGCTTCCTCACAGGGCTATAATGAAATTGTAAATATGTCAACCCTAACTATGACAAAATAATCTAGCATTATATATTAACTTTTGGCCCCTGTTAAAATATTATAAACAATTTGTGTATGCAAACTGAATTCTCTGTTCAAAGATATTATTTCGAACTTTAATTTACATTTCAAGAAGAATAGTTGTTCCATTGAAGTTGTCTGGGGTACTATACACTATACAGCCTATAGGTGATCTAGTTAATATATCCATTGAAGAATAAGTTAATTAACAATGAACATTTAACAATAATTTGAAAAGTAGGCCTAATGTGAAATAACTTCTTTGAATGTGTCAACAAATGTATAGATAGACATTGAGAGCGTGGAAGCATTCACTTTCCTTTTCTGAATGGTGCATACAAATGGCATTTTGAATATGGAATCAAATACTTCTTTCAGAGGAAGGCAACAGATATGTCCCAATTATGGGAAAGTGTAGAAGGTAACAAAGGCCTAAAGGATTCAACATCCTTCTTTGAGGATGTCAAAGGAGTTGGTCAACGGTAAGTGTAAATGGGCAATATGGACTTTTTAAACTTATTTAATTTACACACTTCTAATAAATACAACTTTTGTAATTCCTATATATGGTGCCCTATATGCCAGCAATCTTACTCCAATGGTAATAGAATTCAAAATTATTGAACTTGATAAATATTTTTTTTTTACCTTTGAAGTCTACACATTGAGTCAAAAGTAATAAAGATAACATGATAAGTAATAATAAGTAGAAGGCTTATGCATAATTTTGTAATAATATTGGTAAAGAATATTATACTTACAGTGTATTAATGTATAGGACATTCATAATTCCAGTTACCACACAAGATGGGAGGACCTTAAAATGATCCAAACAGAAGCCATCGCCATGACAAATACAAGGACTTCAGACGAATAGACAGTAGTATATCCTTCTGTGCTGCAACTTTGACAATATTATAGAGACTGCTGATCATTTCCGAAACAAATGTGTTCCTTTGTTACACAAATACTTAAAGAGAGAATCGCAGAGATAGCGAGCAGGCCAAATAGATATACTAGTAGTACTTACATACTAAATTCAATGTAAATAAGTTATGGGAAAATAAATTATAATATAAA